GAATTCATTTTCGTCCCGTTCGGCCAGCAGCGCGCCCTGCGATCTGCCGTCCGTGCTCGCGCACTCGTTGTCCTGCTCACCGCGCGCGTCGCTATAATCGGACCGCCACACTGATAGTCTCTGTCTCTCTCGCACCGACAGCGGACACCCCGTGAGTGCGAGGGAGGCAGACACTCTCGGAATCAGTCCGCATCGCCGTGCTCCGCCTCATGTCGAGCGGCACGTCGGTACTCCATCCACCCCCTGATGCAACCGAGATTAGCTCTGGCGGGGCGGGGCGGGGCGGGGCGGGGCGGGGCGGGGCGGGGCGGGGCGGGGCGGGCTGGCGCGCCGAGTGGAGTGTCGCTTTCTTTCGCCGCCTTTTCAAGTGTCAATCATCGGCCAGACGCGTCAATCTGGACCCCCTTTGCCCGCGCCGCCCCGCTCATCCCCGCTCCGGTTTGCCGCGATGGCCATTCCGCGCCGCCGTGGCCGAGGGCGTAAAGGCGTCGCTCCGCGACCGCACGACCGCGGGTTCAAACACCGCAATCCGTTGCAATCCGTTGGTGGGGTCACACGTTCGGTTCGAGTCCCACTTAGCGGCTCTGGAACTCAAAACGCGTCCAGAGTTTTGGCCGCCGCCGGCGCCGGTCTGCTGGCCCACTGTGCGCAGTGAGGCTGCCTCGCTCTGTCACGCTCTGCCACGCGCCCTCCCCGACTAGTGCCAGTGCCCGTTCCGCCGTTGCGATGCGAGCGGTTCCGACCGATTCCACTCCATTCCACGTCCTCGCTCAGCTCGCTGCTTTGCCCTGCGCTGCCACTGGCTGCCACTGGCTGCCACATGGCCTGCCGAGCCAGTGGCTGAGCCAAAGCCAGAGCCTCTCCAAATGACTTTGCTAAATAAATGTCACTGTCCATCGAGACGACTCCATTCGCGTCAAGCCGAGTGCCTCAGAGACGGCAAACAGAAACAGAACGTCGCCAAAATAGCACAAAATGGAAACCGCGAAATGTTTTTAAACTTTGGGACAGATTTTTCGGGGTCTTCGCTGTGTTGCATCACGCAATGGTGCACCTACACTGTATATAGAGGTCCAGCCACGTCCCAGGTGCCGCAAGTTTGCCGGCGGAAACCACAGCCTCTCTCTGCTGCCCTCGCCGTGAATCCTGGCCTCCTCTCCTCCCTCGTCGAGGTCCTCACCCTCCCCGACGGCCTCCCCGCCGCCACCCCAGCGTCCACCCGCACACACCAAATTACTGGTACATTACACGAGGATTACTGGCAGGGGAGGGGAGGGGAGGAGGAGGGGAGGAGGAGGGGAGGGGAGGGGAGGGAGCACCCCGCTGGGGATCAAAAATCCCCGGACCGGAAACTAAACCATACAAGTTTGATTGCGACTGCGGTGCTGCACTTGCACAGTGTACCACCACTCGTGCCAACGTTGGGGAACCAAGAGTGGTACAAGACTGGGGCGGAAAATGTTGGCACCGTAATGGAAGTTTAAAGTTCAACGCTGCACTTTGAGGGGCGGTTCTCGCAAGCGAGAAAGCCTGAGATGCACACTGTAAGCAGGACTAGCCTCCTGAAGGGCCCTGCCTCCGCACAGTGGGCCAGAAGACCGGTGGAGGCGGCCAAAAGTCCAGACGCGTTTTGAGCTCCAGAGTCGCTAAATGGGACTCGAACGGAACGTGTGACCCCACCAATGGATTGCTCTCCGAACGAGGAATCCATTGGTGGGGTCACACGTTCCGTTCGTCCCATTTAGCGACTCTGGAGCTCAAAACGCGTCTAGACTTTTGGCCGCCTCCACCGGCCTTCTGGCCCACTGTGCTCCGTAGTGATGCCTCCCTCGGCAGGCTGCTCTGCTCGCTGCAACGATTCCGCCCCGCTGAACGCGCAGTCTATATATTTCAGTCGAATTACGAAAGGGGTGTCTGGCCCGTTTCTGTTTTTGTTGTGCTCTTGCTCTCGGAGCCCAGCGGGGCCAGCGGAGCGGAAGGGTGGCTGTCGGGTCCTCTGCGGTGCGGGGGTTCTCGGGGTGCTCTCGATGCATCGCTACAAAATGGCCAACAATAGACACATCTCATTGGAGTGGATAATGACATTTGAGGGGCGCAGGCTGGCGCAGGCTGGAGGGGCGCGGGTTCGACTCTCACTCGCACAGTTTTTGTTTTGACGCTGTGTGTGTGTGTGCGTCTCTTTCTGCGGTCTTGTCTGACTGCTACACCGTAACGGGGTCGAGGGTGGCTAGGCTAGCCTGGCTAGCTCACCCCCATCCCTGCAGACTGCAGACAGCAGAAACGCGTTGGGGCCTTGGTTGGTTCGGTGAGGCGGTTGGCGGTCTGCACGTGGTGGTTGCCTACACTGTAGCTGGAGAGGGCCTTTGAGTTGGCGGTGTGGCGGCCCTCCTCTCGCCCGGCCCGATCAATGCTGGAATTCAAGATGGCGGCCGCGACGGGCTCAGCGGGCCGGGGGAGGGGGAAGGGGGGGGAGGTGTCGGAGGCGGGGCTCGCAGACAGAGGCGTGTAGTACGCTGTGCGCCACCCGCCCCGCCCCGCCCCGCCGACGCGCAACGCCCCTCCCTCCCCTCACCCCGTTCGCACGCGACCCAGCCAAGCGGGGGAAATATACTTTTTACAGAAAGTAAAAAAGTTGGAAAGCCGAGCGTCATTTGTCTTACCGGCGCGTCTTGGCTGAATTTTTCATACTCGAGGCGGGGAGGTAATTTCGCAGAGGGCGGCGCTGCGGTGCGCGGGGTTCGGGGTTCAACGCCCGAGGGGGGAATCGTTTTCTCCGCGTCAGAAAAGACGGGGCTTTTCCGAAAGCTGCTTGAATCAAAACAATGCAGCGAGCAGGGCCCGTCCACCGGAGCACGGCGTGCCAGTGTGCCAGCCCGGACTCGGAATGCCTGCCGGACAGAGACAGATAGACGCTTGCGGGTCGTCCGTCGCCCCCGTCGCCCCGAGTGCGAGAGAGACAGACAGACGTCGCCCGGACGGCCGCCTGGCCGCCGATACAGGGGACTATATCACTTTTACAGCGCCGCGATAGGACCCTCTGGCTTTGGACGCGCACGCACGCACCCTCTCGCTCGCACTCGGGCCGGGCCGTGCCGGGCCGGGTGATGGTGGCAGGCTGGGCTTGTAATGTTTCAAGGAAGCCAGCAGCGAAGCAGCGAAGCCAGTGTAGCGTTTTATTCCCGACGTTAACTATCGCCAAGGCGAGTCGATGGGGCTTCATGTCGTCTGCTGGTGCGTGCGTGCGTGTGTGTGTGTGTGTGTGTGTGTGTGTGTGTGTGTGTGTGTGTGTGTGTGTGTGTGTGCGTACGCACTGTGGGCCGTAAAGAGCCGCGCGAGGCACGCAAGGCGACATGCCGCACGCGTTTGCCTAGTGACCCTGAAAACGCCGCCTTGACTTCGCACGCCGGCTCACAGTGGGCCAGAAGACCGGTGGAGGCGGCCAAAACTCTAGACGCGTTTTGAGCTCCAGAGTCGCTAAACAGGACTCGAACCGAACGTGTGACCCCACCAATGGATTCCTCGTTCGGAGAGCAATCCATTGGTGGGGTCACACGCTCGGTTCGAGTCCTGTTTAGCGACTCTGGAGCTCAAAACGCGACCGGTCTGCTTCGTCTGTGTCGGCAACCAGGCGAAGGGCGGCGAAGGCCCTTGTGAAGTAGAGGGCTCCGGGACGCACGCGCGCGGCATAGGCCGGCCGGCCGGTTCGTGTTCTCATGTCCATTTTATTAATATCGTTTATTACGCCCGTGGCTCACGCAAGCGCACGCAAGCTGCGGAGGTATTTACTGATAAATTAGTGCGAGGGAGAGTATTAATCATGGGCCGGTACGGCGCCAGCGCGCCAGCCCTGCGCCAGCCCCGCCAGCCCGCCGGGGCTCCATGCGGCGCCAAACCGGACGACCCGCCGGAACACCGCGGAGCACCGCGGAGCACGCCGTCATGCCGACGGCCTGCCGACGGGCGCGCCGTACAGGGTAGGCAACCCGGCCGCACCCAAGTGCGTTGGCTGCCTGTCTCCCAGGCGGCGGCCGAGACTTTGCTCTCCATTTTGGAGTTTTTGTTGTCAGCACTTCCGATTCGTGGTTATCCAGGGTTATCCAAGGATATCCAGGGTTATCCGGGGTTATCCAGGGATGTCAGGGGTTATCAGGGGTAATCCCTATCCGATGTACACCAAATTTCTCAGTCGTTTCGTTTCCCCCTCGAGGGGATCGCTGGCAGAGCTGCGACGCGACGAAACTTTTTGCCTGGGAGACACCGGGCTGGGTGTCGGCCGGTGCCGGGTCGGCCGGCCGGGCGTTAGTTAGGTGCGTCTCGATGACACCGGCCCGGCGCGGCCCGGCTCGGCTCTGCCCGTCTCGGCCGGACTCGGCTCGGCTCGGCATGCTGCTCTCTTTCGGATTCCGGAGAGCGAGACAAGGGACCGGGCGAGGGCAGCGAGGCGGGCCGATGGCCGAGGTCGGTGCGCCCCCCAAAAAGGACGACACCGAACCGAGAGTGCTCTCTCTCTCTCTCTCTCTCTCTCTCTCTCTCTCTCTCTCTCTCTCTCTCTCTCTCTCTCTCTCTCTCTCTCTCTCTCTCTCTCTCTCGCTCCCCGGTCGCCATTTTCGACATTCGAGTGCATTCCCGGCGAAGCGGAGGCCGAGGACCCCGAAGAAGGCGCCGAGGCTGCATGCGCTGCATCTGGACGTCGTGACGGCCAGTGGCGGCCAGTGCCCACGTTGGCCCACAGCGCCCTGCCCGTTTATAGGCAGATTTATTGGGCACTCGGCTTCAGACTGATTCCGATCCATCGCTGTCTCTCTCGCACTCTTGGGGCGTCCCCTATCGGTGCGAGAGAGACAGAGCGACGAAAACGACTCTCGGAATCCGGCTGCCGCCCTGTCATTCCCCTGCGATTGCCCGGCGTTTGTAATGAGCGGGCAGCCGTTAAAAGGTTTAGTCCCTGGTTCGCTGGTTCGCGACGCGCCTCTGACCGATTTCCTTTTTTTGTCCCGCAGGTGCTCAAGTACTGCGACCACCTCCATGGCAAGTGGTACTTCTCCGAGGTGCGCGCCATCTTCTCGCGACGCTTCCTGCTGCAGAACACCGCCATCGAGATCTTCCTCGCCAGCAGAAGTGAGTACCAACACACTAATAAAAAATTTTTTGGAAAAAAGAGTTGAGTCAAATTTAGCGGCCGTTGGGCATAAGGGCGTAAGTCACACGTAAAACCCATTGGAAATAGGTTGTTCTGTCCGATGACCACTCAATTGACTGAACCTACAAGTAGTTTCAGATCTTTTGAACTGAACCCTAGTGAGGGCTTCATCGAAATCAACCGCATCTCAGTCGATTTGACTCAAAAGTTTTCACAGTGCGAGGAATAGCTGGCCTTTAAAAAAAAGTGGGGAGCCTTGGTCTTCGGTCTTTGGGGGATTTGCCTGTCGCAGTTACACAAATGTTTATCCCTCGCGGCGTCCTTTGGGCCGCGCTGCTCCCTTAAATAAACTCGCCCTTTAGAGAGAAAGAAGAAAAAACGGGTTGCATCTGCCGCATACATCTCGATTGGTGTCACTGGGCCCCCACCCGGACACCAAGGCAGGCGGACGGCTGTTCCTTCGCGGGGAAGGGGCTTCTGCGCCCCGCGCTGTCAGGCGTTCATCACACTGGGGAAAAAATTCGTCGTCCAATGGGGCTCGAATCGAACGTGTGATCCCACCGATGGATTGCTCTCCGAACGAGGAATCCATTGGTGGGGTCACACGTTCGATTTGAGTCCCATTTAGCGACTCTGGAGCTCAAAACGCGTCTGGGGTGTTGACCGCCTCTACCGGTTTTCTGGCCCACTGTGGTACGGTCTACAGTGCCCTGGCACCCTTGCAGTGCGGCCCGAAATGGCATACAGTTGTGGTGTAGCCCGTAATGGTAATGGCAATGGTAGCCGGCGTCCCTCCCTACCGCGGCGTCGAATGGGCTGCCTACCTCGCGGGCGCTTTGCAGTGTAGTGTCGTGGGAAGCGCTCGGAACTCTGACCCGCTTGCTGCTTGTTGCAGCGTCCATCATGTTCGCGTTCCCGGACACCAACACCGTCAAGAAGATCATCAAGGCGCTGCCGCGCGTGGGCGTGGGCATCAAGTACGGCATCCCGCAGACGCGCAGGGCCTCCATGATGTCGGCGCGCCAGCTCATGCGCAACTCCAACATGACCCTCAAGTGGCAGCGCCGCGAGGTCTCCAACTTCGAGTACCTCATGTTCCTCAACACCATCGCGGGCCGCACCTACAACGACCTGAACCAGTACCCGGTCTTCCCTTGGGTGCTCACCAACTACGAGTCCAGGGAGCTGGACCTCAGCCAGCCCAGCAACTACAGGGACCTGTCCAAGGTGAGCCTGTCTTTTCAAACGAACGTTGAGCTCTGTGAGTCCTGTTGCTGAAATGTTTTTTTTTTTAATGCACAGCCCATCGGTGCTCTCAATCCGAGTCGGAGAGACTACTTCGAGGAGCGCTACAACACCTGGGAGCATGAGAGCATCCCACCGTTCCACTACGGCACTCATTACTCCACTGCAGCCTTTGTCCTCAACTGGATGATCCGACTGGTAAGCACATTTCCTTTTGTTTAAAGGTTGTTGTTTGTAATGCTGCATATATAAAAACTGTCCCTCCCTTCTCTTCGCAGGAACCAATGACCACCATGTTCCTGGCCCTTCAGGGAGGCAAGTTTGACCACCCCAATAGACTCTTCTCCTCTGTGGCCCTGTCCTGGAAGAACTGCCAGCGAGACACATCCGATGTCAAGGTCTGTTTTTGTTTTACATCGCCCTTTTCTCCTTTCTAATTTTCATTTAATAATGTTTGTTTGATAAAATTTTTTAGGAACTGATCCCTGAGTTCTTCTTCTTGCCTGAGATGTTTGTGAACTCCAATCGTTATCGGTTGGGACTCCAAGAAGATGGATCAGTAGTCAGTGATGTTGAGCTTCCACCTTGGGCTTCATCGCCTGAAGAATTTGTCCGCATCAACAGAATGGTATACCACTATCTTTCCTTTCTATTTTTTACCATAAACATGAACAGAATATTCACAAGATTTGTTGGTTTCAGGCTCTTGAATCTGAATTTGTATCATGTCAGTTGCATCAGTGGATTGACCTGATTTTCGGGTACAAACAAAGAGGACCTGAAGCTGTTCGGGCAACAAATGTGTTTTATTATCTGACTTACGAAGGCAGTGTTGATATGGAAACCATAACAGATACAGTGATGAAAGAAGCTATTGAAAATCAAATCAAAAACTTTGGCCAGACTCCATCACAGCTGATGATGGAACCTCACCCACCTCGCAGTTCAGCAATGCATTTGGTATGCTTTGACTTCATTACCACTGTTTCAACATGTTCCAGTTTGGATGTACTATAATTATTTTTTTAATGTTTCAGTCACCAATGATGTTTGCAACTGCACCCGAGGATGTGTGCATGACGATGAAATTCCCATCCAACGCTGCCATCTGCCATATTTCTGCGAACACTTATCCTCAGCTGCCTCTTCCATCAGTGGTCAGCGTCACCACTAATCAGCAGTTTGCTCTCAATCGGTGGAACACTAGTTATGCAGGTGCGTAGAGACATGTGAAGAGCCTCCTATGATGCCAAAGGGTGTAAACTAACTTCCAACAACTCATTTGTCCACAGCCTCAGTTCAGTCTCCTAGCTATGCAGACGCACCTCACACACCTTCAGCTAACTTGCCTCTGTCCATGGATCCAGTGTTGTGTATGTCTCACAAAAATTTGCTATGCACTTTTTCACCCCTCTTTTTTTAAAATAATGTTTCAATTTCTTACTCATTTACTTCTTTTTTTCAGTGCAAGGAAATAACAATAGCAATAATTCTGCTGCCCTTCGTCGTCATCTTGGGGATAACTTCAGCCAAAAGCTTAAAGTCCGATCAAACTGCTTTGTGACAACTGTAGACAGCAGGTTCCTTGTAGCATGTGGATTTTGGGACAACAGCTTCAGAGTGTTCTCCACAGAAACTGGTAAAACAAGTAAAATTTTATTTCAATTTCTATGATTTTCAATTGAAAGGGTAAAATAACATTACAACTCTTTCTTACTTTCTTTACCAGCTAAAATTGTTCAGATTGTGTTTGGACATTATGGCGTAGTTACCTGCCTGTCACGATCGGAGTGCAATATCACATCAGACTGCTACATAGCCTCTGGTTCTGCTGATTGCACTGTTCTACTCTGGCACTGGAACGCCCGCACACAAACTGTGGTTGGAGAGGGAGGAGGAAGCGGAGAAACACCCACACCAAGAGCAACCCTCACTGGACATGATCAGCCCATATCAAGTGTTGTTATTTCGGCTGAGCTGGGTCTTGTAGTGTCTGGAAGCATAAGTAAGTTAGAGCATTCAATTAAACTATTTTAATGTATAGTATATTGTTGATTTTAAATCAAATTAAACTCTAAAATTATTTTCAGTTGGGCCAGTTCTTGTGCACACCACATTTGGTGATCTTCTTCGAAGTTTAGAACCGCCCTCAGGTTTCCGATCACCTGAGAACATCGCAATGTCTCGTGAAGGTGTCATTGTAGTGAACTATGAGCGTGGACATGTGGCTGCTTTCACCATCAATGGCAAAAGACTTCGCCATGAAGCTCACAATGATAACTTACAGGTAGGTATCCGTTATTTCTCACTAAGCGTTTGGTCGTAAGTGCAGGAGAAAGAGGCAATAATGTACATTTTTTCTTTACTTGTATTTTTTTTCTTGCAGTGTCTACTTCTTAGCCGTGATGGTGAATACGTAATGACCGGCGGTGACAAAGGAATTGTGGAAGTTTGGAGAACATTTAACCTGGCATTGCTGTACGCTTTCCCTGCATGTGACAGCAGTGTCCGTTCACTTGCTCTATCTCACGATCAAAAGTAAGTGTTCATACAAGTGCCCCAATTCATATTTTCAATTACAAATCCATTCATTCATTTAATTTTTCATCCCTTTTAGGTTTTTACTTGCGGGACTAGCCACAGGTTCCATTGTTGTCTTCCACATCGACTTCAACAGATGGCATCATGAGTTCCAGCAGAGATACTAGGATAATTTCATTCCGTAAGAAGAGCTGACTGACGTCTTTATGACAATGATTTGTACCAATCGTCACTACAGGAGCTAGAATTACTCTCATGAATTGTTACTAGATTTTGTTCTTTTTTCGGGGAGGGGGAAAGGTTTATATAAGCTTTTAAAAATGGTAGATCCAAGACTGCTTTGAAAGAGGGAGAGCATAGGAGAAACAGAACATGAAGTTTATTTACTCTGTAAATACAATTTGTGGTTGCCATATATTTTCAACGGATTTGTTGTTTAAAAAATAGAGAAATAATTTTCATGGTTTATAATGTACATAGATATGATTTTATCCAAACAAAGAGTCTTTGTTTGAAGTATTGGTTATTGGTTGTGGGTTGATAAACTAGTATTAGTTCACTTAATCTCAGCTGTGTTAGCTCTGGTAAATTATGATGTACCACAATCATTGAAAGGCCGTCCAGGTGTGCAAAGTTGCTCTCCATTGCTATGAACCATTTTGTAAGTTTCGCTGAACATTTATGTTTACCGCAATCATCATCTGTACTGCATGTAAAGAAAATGCTGCTACTCTTTGTGGTATGAGAAAGAGAGAGAGGGGAAATACAACATCCAACCAGCCAAACAGCCAAATTTGTGCCATTCAACCAGATTTTTTCCTATCAGCATTTAGAAATTCGATTTACGTGATACACAGATAGAATGAAACGTTGTTTGCTCTAGGAGCATTTGTTTTGTACTTATTCATCTTCATTTCTTGTTTGTTATTGTGTATAATATTGTTTTTATTAGATAATTGTCTGGTTTGGATTTGAGGCTTTTAGAAACAGTTAGAAAGCTTTGTCAATGTATAAAAATTCTTATAAATTCCCCAAGAAATATTTGTAAAGTAAAATTTATGAACTTACACCATTGGTGTTATGATTATCTGCATAATAATGTGATGATTACTTGCATAATGAATATTCTACCAATCATCATTTGTTCCATACTTTTGTCTCATATATTTTATTTATATTGGATTTATTCCTAGTTCTGTTATAAAATTATTGGTGCCATCTGCATAATTATTGCTTGATAAGAACAAAGATGTTACAATGTTTTAAAGGTACATTTGATATACTGTACATATATATACTAGCTACAGCAATGGAATTGAAGTAGCAGTTGTACTTATTAATGTGATATAGGCTTTGTTCTTGATTGTCTTGAAATAGTGAAATGGTGGAACTAAGAATGGTCTTCTATCGTCAAGCAGCCATAGATCTTACTTCTTCCATAAAATGTAGCTACAAAATTCTGAAAGTATCTAGGAAAAAAAATTAGAAAATTCATACTAAGATTAATATGGTTTGGAGGTAAGGTTTTGTTGATTGGTATAATGTTTGTGACAGATGCGACACACTAGTCAAGAGTCTTGGTGGCTCGAGGGAGTTCTGTGTATTTCACAGATTTGTTTTATGTGTATTGAGTACTTCATTCAGAACTGTACTGCTTCTAGCTGTTGTAAGTATAGCTCATCCCATCTAATGCATTGAAATTGCATCGGAAATGTTAATTGAGAAACAATGTAGAAGAGTTTAAAACATATTTTTCCCTTATGTTTTATAGCTCTATAGGAAACTCTTCATTGTAATTGTAGTGTCAATTTGTGGCGAGAAAGCTTAATATTTCATATTGTTCACATCGTTCTCTAATACAAAGCACTTTTGTCCATCAGTTTCTACCTAAGCAGTGAGATGAGCTTGTTGAACATTGGGAACATTGTTTAAATGTATTATATACTATTGTATTTATTTTGTTAAAGTTGCCGTCCAGCCTTCCGAAGTGTTTTAGAAGCACATCAAAGGGAGAATTGAATAATGCTTTGTTTTGGGTTGTAGACTTTCCTCTTGTTGAGGAGAGAACTCTAATTTATGCCTAGATAGTGTACTTATCATCCTTCACCTGGATTTATTTTTTGTTGATGTTTTTGTTTTAATTTGAAAGGTTGTTTTTCTTTTGTTTTCTGTTGGAACATTTTCTGATGTATAGTTGTGTTCAATGTACTATATTTTGAATACAAAAAGATTGAGTTTTATACCTACCAATCCGTTCCAATTGTCTTCACTTTTAATAATTTTATGAGAAAAAAGTTACTTAAGTAGTCAACCTTATATGGTTTCAGGAGAAAATTTGGCCAAATGTTAATGTAATCTGTAACTTGATATTTTATCATGCGCAAGTCTTTATTGCAATACTACAAGGGTTTCTAATATTGCACTGTGCCTACAGATGCTCACTTTCAAATCGAGCTGTTGTTTAAGAGCTCAGCCATAGTTCCAGAACTTGCTCAGGAAGAAGAAATGTGCGGCAACAATGTGTGCTTATGTGTAAGAATGGATTGGAATATAAGGCATAGATAAGGGTTTCTAATTTATGTACACTTTTTTTTTGTTTGAGTTTTTATTTTTTGTTCAAATTACAATGTCAAAACTGGTATGGTAGTTGTTTTGTTAAAAATGTACTTAACATTTTTTTTTTTAAACGCATTTGTTTGTGTGAGATAGTATTATTTATCACCTTCTTTGCACTATCACATTCCATCCAGTCCTTTATTGTTAATCTTAGTATAAAGACCAAGATATGAAGCAAATAGTCACATTTTTGACAGTTTTTGTGATCTGCTAAGTATTTTGGGATCGGAGTTCATTCAAACAAATCAATTTGGGTACTGCTTTGCACGTTTACTCAAAGGAAGCTTTGTTGCATTTTTGTAGGTAAACAGACATTGGCTTGCAATTAGCAATATTGTGGGGTTTATTGACCTCTAAGCAATGTACTTAGTGTTGAATGTATTGCTTTTCATTATTATTTTCTGAATTGAAGGTGATGCATGTACTTGAAAATACTATAATGTGCCCTTTGTAATAAAGTTAAGTCATTTTCAACCTTGAGTTTTATTTCGCAATGAGTTGAGGAGTGAGGAGGGGCGATGTAGCATCTCTGTGGCGACACTGACTCGCGTTTCCAGGGCGACGGCCCCGGGCGCTGGGCAGTCCCACAGTGCCAGCCCAGTGCAGTACAGTGTAGTGGCAGGGACATGAGGGGCTACCCCCGCAAGACGTGCAAGAAGGCGCAGGCCGCCAGCATGTCACTGCTGTGCCACGGCCAAGGTCACGGCCACGGCCGGCACGGCGAGGAGGGGCTGTCCGCGCTTTGCGAGGGCGTGGGCGGCGAGACCTGCTACCCCGTCCTGCACAAGCTGCGGCGCCCCGGCCGGGGATTCTGCGGGGACCCCCAGGCAAGGCTAGGGAAGGCCCGTAGGGCGCCGGGAATCAGTTACTTAGACCCACAGCAACGCGCCATATGAATTTCACATGAATCTGAGGTGCTCGACCTGGATTTCTCGTTCGGAGGGCAATCCATTGGCGGGGTCGCACGCTCGGTTCGAGTCCCATTTAGCGACACTGGAGCTCAAAACGCGTCGTCTGGACTGGCAAACCCACTGTGGAACGTCCTCTGCTCCCTGCCGGCAGATCGGCGACGCCGATGAGATCACCATCGCGTCCTCCAGCGCCCGGCGCGCCCTGCAGGCGTCGCTCATCTTCGGGGTCCCGAGGCGGTCGCCGCCGCCCAGTGTGCCGCCCAGCGTGTTCGGCAAGCACAGCCAGCACGGCGCGGCCAGCGCCAACAGGCTCCTGGGTGCGTGGTCCCCGCGGTCCACGGCGGGGGTCAAGGTCACGGCCTTGGTCAAGGTCAAGGTCACTCGGTGACGTCCGCGTCTGTACAGAGAGCGAGCTGAACCTGGCGACGCGGCGCCCGCCCGACCTGGAGGGGGACGCCCCTCGCGACCAGGACGCCGCCAAGGACGAGGTGGCCGTCAAGGAGGACCTGGCCGTCAAGGACGGCCTGCAGACCGACGCCGCGCCTGCACAAGCCGCCACCGCGGCCAGGGGTGCCACGACGGACAGGGGCTTCTGGGGGAGGGTGCGCCGCCGGCTGCGTCGGGGGGCGTGCTGCTTCGAGCCCAGGACCGCGTCGAGGGACTCCAGGGGCGGCCGCGACTGAATCAAGTCTCAAATGCGTCAAACGTGTCTTATTCAGCAAACAGGGTCACACAAAGGACAAAATGGCAACAATTCGTCTTGTATCACAATATCCATGGCGGATAAATAAAGTGCCGAGAAGTGCGCATTCACAAACAATACAACAACAACAAAAAAAAAAACAAGTACCGAAGCTTCAATAAATTAAAACAAAGTACAGAAGCTAATCCAGGCGCACATTCACTCATTTACATTATTCACAAATCTTACGGTTATAACTAGGCTAACAGCAGTAAGACAACAATCAACAAAAGTTTTAATAAATTATGACGGAAATGGCCGCAGAACAGCACAGCGAAGACAGCACATCGCACAGCCAAAACCCGAGAGCAAACCACCATCAAACTGGCGGACTTTGGTCGCTTCTAAAATGCAGCATTTCGATGCGTTACGTGTTGCTTACTCGCTGTGCACCGCCTCCTCCGCCATTCCGTTCCTTATCGTGCAGGGAAGTACCGTGAAGCCGCGAGGCCCCAGAGCGTTAACAAGGGCGCGCCGTCCGGTCCCGGGTTCCAATCCCGGTCGAGGCAAGCAAAATTATTTTTTTACGGTCTGCGGAAGCATAACTCACTGAGATCGTTCGCCTAAACTCCACATGAACTTAACCTAAAGTAATACTTTGTCGTTTGCGACACGAGGTCTATTTACAATGTCGGTGCTAGTAACGCTTCGGCGCCCCCTGCCTCTCAACGAGGTCTCTGTTTCTCACTGAAGAGGGCACCGCCGCACAGCAACACAGCCAGGGGTTCGGAAAAGGAAGGCGACGCTGCTCGGGCACGTCAGGCACACTGGTAGCGGCTGGGCGTTGGCAGGAACTGGTAGCGGTACGACCTCTTCTCGATGGACTCCTTGTAGCGCTGGGAGTCGGCGTTGCGGCCCGCCTTGCGCAGGTTGTTGGCCACCTCCTGGTTGGCCCAGGTGCGGATGCTGGGCACGCGCATGGCGCCCTCCATGAACACCCCGATGCTGCTGTGCACCAGGCGCTGGGTCGGCGTCAGGGAGGCTGTGAGGCGCGGCGCGGCCACGCCAAGTAGGTCCATCATGTACAGCACGCTGGCCTCGTAGGACACGCCCGGGTTGTAGAGCGACAGGCCCTCGAACAGCACGCGCGTCATGTGCTCCCAGTCGCGGTTCACCGTCCGCAGCCGCGGCTTGGCGAAGTGCTCCAGCACGTCGCGGGTGCGGCGCCGCGTCAGCGCCAGCCCGCCCAGGTTGAAGTTGTACCTGCAGCACGGCGCGTTGGAACGACAGCCCGCCAGGAAGACCGGTGGAGGCGGCCAAAACTCTAGACGCGTTTTGAGCTCCAGAGACGCTAAATGGGACTCGAACCGCCCGTGTGACCCCACCAACGGATTCCTTGTTCGGAGAGCAATCCATTGGTGGGGTCACTCGTTCGTTTCGAGTCCTATTCAGCGACTCTGGAGCTGGAAACGCGTCCGGACGTGGCGGAACGTACTTGTCCTGGATGCCCAGCGCGTAGCCCAGCGCGGCCCACACGTGGCAGAAGGCGTCCAGCTCGCGCTCCAGGTTGCCGTGCAGCCCGAAGCGCTCGGGGAACGTGGCGATGAGCCCCGAGAAGGCGAACTGCGTCAGCGACATGTCGAACTGGTTCAGGTGCACCCGCTTGGTCACGTCGCGGTCCTTGAGCACGGCGTCCACGGCGTCGCTGGGGCACGCGCCCTCGCGCGCGTCTTCGCACATGCGCTCCACCTGCCGGCAAATCAAACCAGACCCGGGTTAGGTTAGGTTAGGTTAGGTTAGGTTAGGTTAGGTTAGGTTAGGTTAGGTTAGGTTAGGTTAGGTTAGGTTAGGTTAGGTTCGGTTCGGAGAGCAATCCATTGGTGGGGTCACACGTTGGGTCCGAGTCCCATTTATCGACTCTGGAGCTCAAAACGCGTCTAGAGTTTTGTGCCTCCACCGGTCCTCTGGCAAGTCCACTGTGCCGTACCGTGGCGCCGCTCCAGATGTGCGGCGGGTCGGAGTGCGGGCCGAAGGTGGTGTTGAGGCGCAGCGCGTCCGGGCTGGCCTGGCGCATGCGCCGCGACGCGTCCAGGTGGTAGCCGCGCACCGTGGCGATGTTGTTGTAGGCCGTCGTGTTGGGCGTCCAGGGGTCGCTCTCGTACCACGACTTGACGCGCGCCACCGTGTCGAAGTAGCGCTTGTACGAGTCGTACACGGTGGAGGAGCGGCGCGTGAAGATGAGGGGCTGCAGCTCGCCGGGGAACAGGAAGTTGATGAGCAGCGACAGGCTCTCGGCGTACGCCAGGCTGAAGAAGTTCTTCCTGGAGAAGGCCTGGCCGCGCTCGAACTTCTGCCGGTCCAGCCAGGCCGGCGGCACGTCCGGGGCCACGCCGCTGTCGCCTGGGAAGGCCACGCCCTGCACGATGTCGCGCAGGCTCTCCGGCACTGCGGGCACAACAAACCGGTCAACACGGCAAGCCATCCCGTAGCGTAGTGGTTAGAGCGGCCGCTTTTCATTCCGAAGGACTGGGTTCAAATACAACTTTTTCTAGTTTTTTTTTCTTGGAAATATTGTTTTTTTTTTGCACCCGAACGTTCATAAGCGACTCGTGGGAGAGGGCCTCCCGCCCCGGCCTGCAGCCGTTCGCTTTTCCCTGCATTTTCCGCCTTCGGTCCCACGGCTCTCACACACTGCGCGCCCAAATTGGCCCCCGGGCGATAATCTGACTGGGTATCTGTCCCCGCGGGCCGCCTGGCCGACTGTCCCGGCGCCTGCCCTGCCCTCTGGCCTGCCGGCTGACTGGGCTAGGAGGCTAAGACCTAGACGCCGGGCCCGCTGGGCAGAACAAAGCCGTAGGATTGCCCTGTTGCGCGCAACGCAGCAACGCGTCGGACAGTCGACCGCTTGCTTCGCTTGCCTCGCTTCCCACACGCGACGCCACCGCAGCCAGGCCGCTCGGGCGGTGCAGCCGCAAATCACGCGCCATTTTTTACACAATTCAAAACAAAACAGAAAAAAATGTTTCCAAGCGCCGGTTAAACCACGTCGCTGTCGGCCTGTCGGTTACCCAGCTTGTCCCGGGGCAGCGCGTTGCCGGAAAAGGGGCATCCACCGGCGGAAGACCTGCAAGACAGAAAGAAAACGAGACGTAATGAGGCACAGTATACGCCAGATGAAACAATTATTGGCAGAGCGTCCGTGTCGTTGACCCGGCGCGGCCTGCGTGTAATCACACCCGTGCCGCCGCCGCGCCGCCGTGCGCACAGCGTGGCTTGGCGGGGCCGGCCACTGGCCAGTGCCTTGATCTTGGCCTTGCAGCCTTGCACTCGCTTGCACTCGCTTGCACCCGAGCGGAAGAGCAGGTCCCTTTACCGCATGCGCTCCGTTTTTGTTTTTGTTATTGTTTTTATTTTGCGCCCTCTACCCGCGTCACTTCCCGCCTACGGTCGTTTCCCCGTTTCCCCCCGCAACATGCAAATGGCTTGGGTGATAACCAAGAGCTCCCCGCGAGACACTTTTTATCTCTGTCTTTGTTTCTTTTTGAGGTCAGCCGAGCCAAAACGGAACCGCAGTCGGCGGCTTGTCAACCGCATGTAATTGCTTCCACGTTCTACTACACTGTAAAAAATTATTTTAAAAAAAAACTTACAGTTTTTGAATTTTGGAAAGTTTTTTTTTTTGCAGGAGGTGATTACAAACAGCAGCGCGTCTTCGCGTGCGTGAGTGGAGTACGGAGTGGAGGGGGTAGGGCAATGACGTGGTCGAGTACAGCGGGCAAATCGGCCTGTCCCGTTGCCCCTGGAGTCCCCCGGCACGTGTCGCCTGTCTGTCTGTCTGTCTGTCTGTCTGTCTGTCTGTCTGTCTGCCTGTCTGTCTGTCTGTCTGTCTGTCTGTCTGCCCTGTCTGTCTGTCTGTCTGTCTGTCTGTCTGTCTGTCTGTCTGTCTGTCTGTCTGTCTGTCTCTGCAGCACGTGCCCGGGCCCTAAAGCGCCTGACAAAGGCTGCTAGGCAGTCCCGCCGCGCTCCGGAGCGTCGCTCTGCCACCGGCTGCCTACCCGCCGGGCGCCTCAAAGCTGTTTCCGAGACGGTGCTCTGTCTCTCTCGCACGCACGGGGCGTTCCGTGGTTCCGCGGGGGTGCGAGAGAGACAGAGCGACTGGGCGGCAGGAAGGTCGTCGTCCTGCGTCCTTGCGGCCCGGCTAGCCCCGAGCCGCGACACCGTTAGACAAGCACGAAGTGTATTCGCACTCTAGAGCCCGCCAAGCGCCAAGCGCGAAGCACGCCAAGTACCGCCGGACCAGTGCCGCTGTATTTGTCTTCTTTTTTTTCAGACACTTTTTGTGTGTACACTGCTGCTTCCGCGGGGAGAGGAGAAGCCCCCCAGACTCGACTTAAATATCGCCAGTCATACGTCTACGACCACTGTGCAAATTCTTCTCGTGCGCGTTTTTTATTTGTTTTGTTTTTCTAGTCGAGATAGGCGGCTGCAAACTACGGCTCTTTACGGGCGACCCGGGACAAAGGTGCAGCAACTTCCATAAATCTTTTTTTTTTTAATTTTTTTTTTAGTCAAGTCACCAAAGAGCGGTCGCAGAATCATTCAAAGACCAAAGGAAAAACACAAGCGAGGCGCTGAGTGAGAAAACTCAAACTGTATTCCGGGAACAAAATTGTAGTGCTCGGAGACCTAAACGCACACACCGCACCCCAGAGCGCCCAGAGCGGCCCCTGGGCCCCAGCGAGGCAGCCAGCTCACTTCGGTGCACAGTGGGCCAGAAGACCGGTGGAGGCGGACAATTCTGGACGCTTTTTGAGCTCCAGAGTCGCTATGGTACTCGAACCGAATGTGTGACCCCACCAATGGATTCCTCGTTCGGAGAGCATTACATTGGTGGGGTCACACGTTCGGTTCGAGTGCCAGCGACTCTGGAGCTCTGCACGAGTCTAGAGTTTTGGCCGCCTCCGCCGGTCTTCTGGCCCACTGTGTGGCGGCGCGCCGCTAGAGCGCTCGAAGGCGCCACCCACGCCCGCCAACCACATCTAGCTTATTTTCCTCTTCTCACTTTCCTGCGAGTCCACAAGCATCCAATCACAATGCTCCCAACCCATTGCGATACCAGCGGCCTCAGCACAGTCCCTCCGACATAACTTTGCCCGCGGATCAGCCCATGGCACGACACTGCAAACGACGGGCGCAGCGTTGGCGGCCGCGGGCACAGCACAGCGCAGCGGCGAAGCTAGAGCGCACTTCACTCGGGTAACGCAAAACCGGCCGCGCGTTGCCTCATTGGCTCTTTAACTGTACGTCCAGACGGCTAAGCCCGCAGTGTGTGTGTGTGTGTGTGTGTGTGTGTGTGTGTGTGTGAGAGAGAGAGAGAGAGAGAGAGAGAGAGAGAGAGAGAGAGAGAGAGAGAGAGAGAGAGAGAGAGAGAGAGAGAGAGAGAGAGAGAGAGAGAGAGAGAGAGAGAGAGAGTCTGTAAAATGGCTGTAAGGGAGCTCAAGTGGGTGTGAATAGGCGCCTAGACGTTCAAAGACGTGTTGGGGCCTCTGCGTTTATTTCTATCGCGATTGGCAATCCCGAGTCGGACTCTTTGTGGTCCGAGAGTCCTTCGGTGGCACTGGCAGTCCCGCCTGACATGAGCGGAGAAGGGCGCAACTTCAAACAGTGTGAACGAATCCCCTTTGACTTGACAGAAACAACAACAAAAGTAGAAAACTTAACTTTTTAAAAATAAAGTTTCTTGGAGTGCTGTTTTTTTTTGTAGCTTAGTTGTGTTTTGGAACGCCGAGCCACAACAGCATTTTATGCATATCTTTGTTTTTATTTATTTATATCTTTGTTTGTTTACATCGTTGTTTGTTTATATCTTTGTTTGTTTATATCTTTGTTTGTGTATATCTTTGTTTGTTTATATCTTGGTTTGTTTACATCTTTGTTTGTTTACATCTTTGTTTGTTTATTTTCATTTTTTCCCCAGTGTCTATAATGGTCGCAGCGCGGCGCGGCGGCGTGGCGTGGTGTAGTAGTGGAGCGGCTGGGCGGAGCGCGGAGCGGGCGTGGTACGCGTCTCACTCATTTGACCTTGGCATGGCAGTCTGTTTCACATGGATGTGCGTTCGCCACAAGTTCAGGTTCATGACCACGCTGCGCGACGCGGCGCGACGCGGCGCGACGCGGCGCCACGCCAGGAACTGGTTTTTGCCCCCAACTCCCGACTGCACCCCAGCTTCCTCGGAGAGACGGCGTCAAGCGCTTCCTGCACCTCCACGTGCGAACTCGATCGACTTCCTCGCCCAGACTTTCCTCCAGGCTTCCGAACAGGAAAATCCGAGTCGGCAGTAAAATGGTCTCGCCGTCGCGCCCATTGGCCGCGCCGCGCGTCGCTGCGCGTCACTGGCGAGACGGGGGAATCTTCCCACACTGAAAAAAATCTATAGTAAAGGTCACCAAACCGATGGTAACTTTTACTATACCGTATAGTAACTTTTCGACAGCTGGAATTAATAGTGAATGTTACTATACAGCCATTTAGTGTAAGCCACTAAAATTTACAGTGTGTCCTACTATACCGTTACAGTGTGTTCTACTATACCGTATAGTAAACCGCACTATCGTATAGTACGGAAACGGACCAATCAAAATGCGAGCGGCTGCCGCCGCAGGACCTCTCTCCTCCCCTCCTCTTGTACCGCCCTTCGCGGTGGAGCCGAATGGTCTAGGCTTGTCACTCTTACTTCTGCTGCGACCCGGGATTGAACCCGCGCCGTCGGCACACTGCGCCGATGCCGTACCACTCGGCCACCCTCGCCCGTGAGGACCACCGCCTCCAGAGAGCAAACACGTGCAAGGCAGCAGCGCGCCGATCGGGAGGAGTGGGAGGGGTGGGGGTGGCCGCGCGGCGGGTCTCAGCGGGGGGATGTGGCAAGGGGAGGGGCAGGCGACGACACCGGTGTAGTGGCATTTACTATACAGCAGTGGCAACCACCAAAGAACCCTTACCACAGCGTATAGTAACTTTTACGATAAGCGTTTCGTAACGCGCACTAAACTTAAAGTACTGTGCACTACTAATGGGCTTACTATACGGGTATAGTAACATTCACTAAAGTAGTTTTTTCAGTGCACGCGGAACAGGAAGGTCCTGCTCCTTGCTCTCTGTCAATCCCCGGCTGTTTTAAGTCGCGGGCAGCCGCCGTCGCTGTTTTGGCCGTGCAGACCTAGAGGAGGCATCCTCTCGTTTTGCAACGCCGCCGGCTTGCTTCGAGTCCTTGGCGTGAGGCTCCAGCACTATGCATCGCGCTCGTGAGATTGGCCTAGGTCGGCACCGACTCAAAGAAAGCCCCCCCCCCCCTCTTTTACCGAGTGCGGCCGAAAGGGGGCGACGCCTCGGGGGCGATGAAGACGTGACAGGCGGAGGGCCTTTCTGTCTCGCTGTCTCCCTCGCTCCCTTATGGGCCTTACGGGACGCCCCATGAGTGCGAGAGAGACGGGACGACGAGCGCGGTGCTCGGAATCTGCCTGCAGGGGCAGCCTGGGGGCAGCCTGGGGCACGTGATGGCGACAATGCCACTGGAGTACGCACAGTGGGCCAGAGGACCAGTGGAGGCGGACAAAACTCTAGACGCGTTTTGAGCTCCAGAGTCGCTAAATGGGACTCGAACCGAGCGTGTGACCCCACCAATGGATTGCTCTCCGAACGAGGAATCCATTGGTGGGGTCACACGTTCGGTTCGGGTCCCATTCAGCGACTCTGGAGCTCAAAACGCGCCTAGAGTTTTGGCCGCCGCCACCGGTCTTCTGGCCCACTGCGCGCGGCTAGCACCCGGCCCCACGCGACAATGCGAGCGCAGCAGCGCCGTGAGCGACACCGCCGCGGTGTGACAATGTCAGGCGTGACGTCAGCGTGGGCCAATGGGGCGGCAACACTGCCACGGGGTCCTGAACCCGCAACCCGCGCAGTGCTTTATCGTGGGCAGCATTGGCCACACTCACACACTCACGCCACTGTCTCACGCGAGGCTGCTGCCGCCGCTGCTGCTACTAATGTCCTTCCTGGATGGATGCGATGCAGACAGACAGCAGAGGCTGCCGGCCAGTGGCAGGCCAGTGGCCGCACTCTAGGCCAGGCCAGTGCACTTGTGCAAGCATTGCACAGACACTGGCCTACAGCCTCGCCAGGCCGCCAGGCCCAGCGTGCATGCAAGCCGCGCAAGCCCTGCACTGCAAGCCCTGCACTGCAAGCCCTGCACTGCAAGCCCTGCACTGCAAGCCCTGCACTGCAAGCCCTGCACTGCAAGCGCCTGCGACGCAGCGGCAGGCAACCCTGCGGGCACGCGCTCGGTGGAGCGGCCCAGTGTCGAAAGGGTTGCCAACCTCAGCCTGCCTAGTAGGCACTATCTCAACTTTGGTCCCGAGGAGTTGACGCACAGTGGGCCGCCTCCACCGGTCTTCCACCTGGCCCACTGTGTGACGTCACACATACATCCCCCGATTCCGATTCTGGACACGCACTCGCTCCGTCTCTCTCGCTCGCGCCCTTAAGATGACCCCGAGCGACGACAGCACAGCGCACTGAGTCAGCACAGCAGCCTGTTGACAATACCCCACGCTCCAGGCGTGCCTAAGAGGCCGGCGCCGGGAGTCCCTCGCGCGCGGAGTAGCGATTCTTTTCGATACGGCGAGGCCCACTTCGCTTGCTTCGCGCAGGGCCGCTCTGCGTCGCTCTGCCACACTGTTATTAGCGGAAAGGCTGAGCACAGCCCTGCGAGTGATAATCTGCCAATCTGCAGACGACGTCAACCAAGTCACTCGCCTGGCAAATTGATACCCCCCCCCCCCCCCGAGGGGCCGGAGGGGCCGGAGCGAAGTGCCACTTTGGGGCGGCCTCGTCACCTCGTCACCTCGTCGCCACTTGCTCTTGGCCGTGAACTCCAACTCCAACTCGGCACGCTCGATCCGTCATTCGAGATTCGTCGTCAACACAAAAAGAGTAATGACTCGTCGACCATTGTTTTCACACAAGCCATCCTTGTGGCGACTGGATCAACACTGCTCTCTGTCTCTCTCGCACCCGCAAGGAACGCCCCCTTCCATTTTTTTGCGAGAGAGACGACGAAGCACTGCCCGCCGACACACAGTGGGCCAGAACACCGGTGGAGGCGGACAAAACTCTAGACGCGTTTTGAGCTCCAGAGTCGCTGAATGGGACTCGAACCGAACGCGTGACCCCACCAATGGATTGCTCTCCGAACGAGGAGTCCATTGGTGGGGTCACACGTTCGGTTAGAGTCCTTTTCAGCGACTCTGGCGCTCAAAACGCGTCCTGGATTTTGGCCGACTCCACCGGTCTTCTGGTCCACTGTGTGCGGCGTCATCCTGGTTGACGTCCACGACGTCCACGACGTGCACTGACCTGGCGGGGCGCGCGCGGCGGCCCAGGTCCCTGAGGAGCGCCGTCTTGACGAGGAAGGCGTCGGCCGGCACGATGGCGTGCGCGCACAGCACGGCCAGCAGGGCCAGCACGGCGCGCCACATCTTGCACGCGCGGCGGCTGGCTGCAAAACGCAAATTTGGAAAAAACGTGTCCGAGTAAACGCCGGCGCGAAGCGGCGCTCTACAGTGTAGCGATGTACACATAACAGACCTGTCGGGTAATTACAGCTCCGTATGCAGCCGCATGCACTGTAGGACTAGGACACTAGGACTAGGCCGCGGGGAGGCGCGCGTCGGCCGGCGTCGGCCGGGTCAGGGATGCTGCTGCATGCTGCCGCATCGGCCGCATCGCCGGCTGCATCGGCTGGAGTGACGTCACTGACTAGTCGCGGACTCGCGGACGCGACACGGCACTGTCGGTCTGGGCGGTCGGAGCGAGTCCGGCACGCGCGTCCGCGGTCGCGTGGTCGCGTCGCGGACGGACCAAGACGGACTTGGAGACTGGACTAGGATTGGCGTGCCGCAGGCGTGCCGATCCGACAATCGGCGGTCGAGACAGCAGAAGACTGTGCGGCGCGGCGCCGCGCGCCCGGCTCTACCAGCGCCGCAGCGCACCGCAGCGCGGCAAGGGGTTAGCCGCCCCTCCCCCGCCGCCCTCCTCCCCCAGCGCGCGGGAAGGTGGGCGGTGGGCACTCGCGCCGCTGCGAAACTACGCGAACCCCCTCCGATCCGCAGTGCTCCGCACAGTGGGCCAGAAGACCAGTGGAGGCGGCCAAAACTCTAGACGCGTTTTGAGCGCCAGGGTAGCTAAGCAGGGCTCGAATCGAACGTGTGACCCTACCAATGGATTGCTCTCCGAATGAGGAGTCCATTGGTGGGGTCACACGTTCGGTTCGAGTCCTGTTCAGCGACTCTGGAGCTCAAAACGCGTCTGGACCGCCTCCGCCGGTCTTCTGGCCCACTGTGGGCCCGCCGGCCCGTGGCCACAAAGGAGTACCACACACTCTAGGCCTCCGGGCCCACCCCGCCCACGCCGTGTGCAATGCGGCAATGCACCGAGGCTGTTCTCGCTGCCGTCGCTCCGTCTCTCTCGCACCAACACGGGACGCCCCATGAGTGCGGGAGAGACAGAGCGACGAACGCGACTCCCGGGATCGGCGCCGCGAGGGCCGCGAGATGATGCTCGCGATACCCGTGACGGCCTCCGCGTCGCCTCGCCTCAGCAAGGCGGCGTACAGTGGGCCAGAAGACCGGTGGAGGCGGACAAAACTCTAGACGCGTTTTGAGCTCCAGAGTCGCTGAATGGGACTCAAACCGAACGTGTGACCCCTCCAATGGATTGCTCTTCGAACGAGGAATCCATTGGTGGGGTCACACGTTCGCTTCTAGTCCTGTTCAGCGACTCTGGAGCTCGAAACGCGTCTAGAATTTTGTCCGCCTCCACCGGTATTCTGGCGCACTGTGCGGCGGCAGGCTGGGCAAGCCAGGCATGGGCAGCACTGCGAGCGTCATGAGCGTCATGACCACGAGTGAACGGTTTGTCTAACGGTGTCGCGAAAAGCGAACCGGGGGGCGTTCCGACGCGGCAAGCCTTTTTATTCGCGCGATGGGCGCGGTATGGAGTGGGTTGTTGCCCGCAAGTGCCCCCCGCAGGCACAGGCACTTCAAGAAGCAAAACAAACGAGTAGACTTTTGCTGATGACTTGGACCGGAGGAGGCGGCCAAAACTCTAGACGCGTTTTGAGCTCCGGAGTCGCTGAACAGGACGTGTGACCCCACCAATGGATTCCTCGTGCTGAGAGCAATCCATTGGTGGGGTCACACATTCAGTTCCAGTCCTGTTTAGCGACTCTGGGGAGCTCAAAACGCGTCTAGAGTTTTGGCCGCCTGCACCGATCTTCCGGTCCACTGTGCGGAGACGGAGGCAACAAAGCCGTCAACAGCGCGTAGATTACTCCGAACTAGTTCAAGGCGCCGAAAGGAAAGGGAAGGGTTTTGGGAACAATTGAAGTAGATAGTCGAGGGTCCTTCCAAACAGGTTTCGGTCGGTCGCCTTGCGGCTTGCGGCCGGAGGACGACTGTGACAGTGTGCCTCCGCTTCCTGGACACCAGTTTGCCGATCGCTTTCCACTTACAGTGAACTTTTCTCCGGCGGCATCGTAGCGACCTGCTGCATGGCCTATGTTGCAACGCGACGCGCTGTGCCGGGCCGGGCCGCGTCAAGCCAGAGGCGTCAGCGTTGGCGTCAGCCGGCAGCGGCATGGGCGGCCCCACGAGGATTTTGCAAATAACGTGTGTGCCCCCGGGCGGGTAGGCAAGCCAGTAACACGCTATCAACATGGCTGGGCCAGGCGGAGCACTTGATTGCTCTTGTTATTGTTTGTGTGGGATCTATCTGCCCGACTATTTTGCTTGTCATTTTTTTCCCCGGCCCATTTTGATACACGTGTTTGCCAGGACCAGGCGGCCTTGAGAGGTATGGGTGTCTTCCCGATGTGTGAGAGACATCAGGGTACAGTACTTGCCATGCGTCTTCTGCTTCGTAAAACACATTCCAGAAATGCTTCCGATATTTTTAAGGCTTTTTTTCTTAAAAAAAAGAAAACTAATTTACGTGTATTTTTGCTTTGCGATTGCGAGAGTAAAGGCGCAATCATCCAACAGTGGTCGATTCCTGGTGGCGATTGAATGCGATTGCGCGGCCGGGCACAGTGGGCCAGAAGACCGGTGGAGGCGGACAAATCCCGGACGCGTTTTGAGCCCCAGAGGCACTAAACGGGCCTCGAACCGAGCGTGTGACCCCACCAATGGATTCCTCGTTCGGAGAGCAATTCATTAGTGGCGTCACACGTTCGGTTCGAGTCCCATTCAGCGACTCTGGAGCTCAAAACGCGTCTAGAGTTTTGTCCGCCCCCACCGGTCTTCTGGCCCACTGTGCGGGGGCCGCAGCCGCAAGGGCCGAAGGCGAAGGCGACAGTGCGATAGTGCCACGCCACCTTTTAGGGGCACGTCTGGCCACGTCTGGCACACGCACGCACGCAGCTCGTGACTTCGCGTTGCTTCGCGTTGCTTCGCGTGCGTGCGTGCGAGCGGTCGAGCGCACGAGCGCGCTTTGTCGAGTCTCATCTTGATGCATCGGAGGAAAGCGTTCCGTTTCGCAAGGACCAAGGAAAGGCACACTTTTCAGCCTAAACTGTATAACTGCGCAACTGAGCGCAAGTTCTCCTCCAAGGCTTTGGCTTCGGACTGCTGTGACCGGAGGGACTTCCCTTCCGAGCGAACTAACTTTGGCCGGACTGCGAGAAGCGCCTTGGCGAAACAGGCTCGTCCTAGCCTATTCAAAGGACCCTTTGAAATTCAAATTCCACTAATGTTTTTCATTGTGTCAGTAAAATTTTCATGTTCCATGTTCCGCTTGTCTACGCTTGTCGAGCGAGCGCCTGCTGGGTAGGCAGCCCACCAACGGCACCCGCGTCGGAGAGAGAGAGAGAGAGGTAAATTGGCTGCACGAAAAGACCAGATTGCTTGCTGCAATAACACCATGAGTTTATTTGGTACACAATGTTTACATAGACAATCACAATAAAGTTATTTCTCCTTCTATTTAGCTTGCATGCATCTCATTAATTGTTAACAACACTGTATGCGTGATGATATATGACTATCTCAACAGTACAGGACTGTGACTTGTGGGCCACAGATGACATGTTTCCTTGCTGATATGTTCCAGCTGTGATTTTTAATGGGTTTCGGCGCCAAATATATGCAATTATAACAAAAATTATCAAAATGGTAGGCCAATGGAATGCGACAAAAAAATTTAAGAAACAACAACCTATAGATTATTGTCCAAAAGTGGAGCATCTCTATAGAACCCTCACATTGTTCTCTCAAGAGATCCCCTTCATCCATTGTAAAATTATTGCATTGATTTTAAAAAAGATTTTCTTCTTTCATAAATGATTATAAAAATGGAAATTAGTGGAAAACATGCTGCTTAGCATTATGGGGTAGAAAAGCATATAATTACAAATTGCAGGATATTTATACAATCAAAAACACATTTAATAATGGCATAAACACATAAACAGACTACAACATGCATATACGTTGTATTACCCGTAAGCCAATATATCAGCATATGGTTTTCCTTCCATCAAAAGTGGAGAAAGTTCATGAATTTGCAAATTATTTCAGGAGAATAAAGTGGATTGTTTCAGTCTTACCCTTTCCTTTGACTAAACTGAATCAACCAAGTATTTAAAATCATCCCACTTGTCCTATTGAAAAGTAGAAAAGTGGGAAAATAATTTCCTAAAGCAGTCATACACTTAAACAAATCAAAACGTATCAGCATCACCTAAGACTGTAAGAAATTCAGAAATTGCTTTGCTTCGTTGGGGTAATAAACACTATCCATAGCATTCCTTTAAAATGTAAGTAACCAGAGGGCAAGTGTAAAAACACATCAAAGGAAGAGTTTTGCTTAGCAAGAAACAGCACACTTTCACTTACAGAGAGCTTCATACAAGCAAACAATCTGGAAATTGATCAATTATTAGTCCAGCTTTTACGACCATACTTTCTTTCTGAACTTGGAAGAACGTTATAATGAGGAAATTCCTGTCAAAAAGTTTGAGCCGTTGAACAAATGTGTTAGAGAGCCCAACTGCCACTAGAAAGGAATATTTTTTAAAAACTTGTCTGCCATCTCATAGACATAAAAATAACACTAGTGCAGAAAAACATAACAGTATTTAATTTGAGCCATATCTTTTGCTTAGGTACCTACATCCCATTATAGCAAGTGCCCCATGACATCATTTCTGCAGAATTAAAAGCCTATAAGGGCCTTTTTCAGAGAGATGCTAACCATTTCACATTTGGCACTGAATATTATCACACACAAAACTTCCATAAGTCATCATTGAAGTAAAAAAAAAAAAAAGAAAGATGAAAGTGACTTATACCAAGAATACACATAAAACAGGCTGCGCACAGAAAATCACAGAAAGCCTACAAAATTATCAGATGAAGATATCATTCAGTGCATGCTTTAACCGTCAAGTATATGTAACTTAAGTTCTAAAGCAATCTATTCTACAGCAATAAATATGTCTTAAGAAAAGAAATAAGTAAATTATCAGTCAGGCTTTCACAGAACTTTAACATTTATTTTTGCTTGATTTTTGTAACAAAACTGAGACAACTGACATTTCAGAGTACTAAAGTCAGTTATTGTGGGATGGCAGAAATGGTAGTATAGGTACTTTGATGCCCATTTAAAAGAGAACAGAAACACATTTTTAGAGTGACACCGCAGACATTAACAATCAGCAACATCAATAAGAACACAAAAAAGCAAAACGATTAGAGACCTGTAACAATTTTATGCAAAAATAAGAAAGATTTTACAGAAGTATTTGAAAATGATTGTCATTTGATTAGGAAAACTGGCCAGTGCAACTTTAGGTTGACACAATCTTTAATTTGTCTTGCTGAATTTGAATTAAAACCGTTGAACCTATGATGCAATAAATTTGAGGAATGTGTTTATTTAAATGACTCCATATAAACAAATAAAAAGTAAAATTGAAAGACAACTGACTGCAGCAGCAATCTCTAACAAAACAATCTCTTTAAGATTGCGTCTTCACATGAAGCTCAGTATGTTTACATTTGATCTCAAGCACACATAAAACATAAAATCTTATCACGAACAATGGAGTCCTGAGAGCCCTCGAGCACTGTGAGGTAAAATTTGTGGACTTACAGTACAATCATAGGGACCTCAAAAGGCTTGACATCTCTTCTACCAATTGTGTATAAAAATAGCACTTTCTTAATCTTTGAAGTTCAATAATGAAGTATTGTCTTGCAACAAATAAATGTCTCCCACAGATATACTTTTCATTACATGGTCAACAAGATAAAAACACATACAAAGGCATTGATATGTAGGCCCCATCAAAGATTTCTCTCATACTTTTGAAACCTAAGGGATGGGCAAATATGAAGTTTCAAATGAATTGAAGGTGAAGCGTAATTATAAACCTAAGATAAAATCATGACAACTATCTGACAATACCATGACCTGGAAACGATCCCCACTGTGCAATAACAGTATTAAAACTTCAACAAGATTAAATTGCTAATTAACTGAGAACGGTGGCAGAGCCAAATCCGAACTACTATGGTCCAAAACAAAAGTAACATTAACAGTAACAGGGAAGTTTGTAAATACATTATGAATTAACATTTAACAAACGGAAAGCTGTACCTATCTAACTTTTCTTTCCATGTGCAACATAAAGCTTTAAATTCAATTTACAATAAAGTGTTTTATACAGAGATTACATCTTAAAAGGTAACAAATAGTCTTATTTACAGCATTGACAAGATACGTAGAGTGCAACAAAAGCTTTTGTACATAAAAAAAGATACATGGGAAATAAATTGAAATATATGAGTAACCTATACAAGTTTCAATTACAAACATAAAGGAACAACAAAAGACTTGTCCTATTTTATATGATTAAAGGACATACAGACATCATGGCAATAGCATTGCTGGCAATTTCCTTAAAGGTACTTAGTAGTTAATTATTGCAAGCAGGCTTGAAGCTTTTCAATCCATTCCTGTGCTGCAGCATTATCAGTAGCACAGAAATTGTAAGTTCTTCGGCTTGTTTTCAGCTGCAACAAAAATGCAAAGAGATAGAACACAAAGCTTGATTCAAAAAGATACATGGATCATGAAAATAGGAAATTACTAACATCAAAGAAGGACTTGTCATCAGTCTTTTTCGGGGGGCCAGGAGCTGGTGGAGCTGGGCTTACAGACATCACTTCTGCTAAATCTAAAATCAAGAAATTTTTTAAAGGTAAAAGCATCAGTAAGCATAACTTGATAATTAACAAAGATATACAAAAAAATTAACATACCAATGTATCCTTTACTCTGAGAATCTTCCATGGCATCATAGTATCTCAGTTGATGTTTGATGGAATCTAGAACAAACCATCTTTGCTTCCATGCTTTCAACAAGGCACCTCGTTTGTACAAATAGCCCTCATGAGTGCGATTCTCTGCCACGTTAGAAGAAAACTGATCATAGTACTGCTGGGAAGACGTTTGCATTGTGGCTATACCTGAAATCACACAACCAAACAAATTAATGACCACAACATCAAAATACAGCAATCATTTAAATGCAGTAGGTTAGGATTACAACTGAAAGTTCAGGGGAACCAACTTACTTGAATTCACAGATCCATTATCACCACCATTTCGTGTCAATGTTTGATTAGGATTACTTGGGTCAGAGACTGCTTTGTACTTGGTGCAACTTTTAGGTACATGCTCTTGACATTTGTCATGGCAACTATACCCACAATCCATACAGCGCAAACCAGTCTGTTTATTGAGAAAATAGAAACTGTTTAACATGTCAAACAATTCAACAATTATTTAAAACATTAAAACAAAACAAAAGACTTGCCTTCACAGGTCCCCACAACACATTGGAACAATAGTCGCAGTAGCTTGGAGTGGTATAGGAGTAACGATCAAACCGATGGGGGTGGGAGTAGACATGGGGAGCATCCTGAGCACCAGCAATCTTTCCCCTCATCAAGATTTCAAGTGTTGACCTCTTATGCAGAAGTCTGCCATGCGAGCGCACAAGCTGAGTGCTGAACGAAGCATGCCTCTGCACACAGTAAACAAAATAAAATTAATAACATTTACATTTTGGAGGCTAGCAATTGATATGACGAAGCTTGACAGAAAATACCGTCAAAGAGTCGGTGGTGGGAAGCTCCAGTTTGTCCCACAGCACTTTCCACTTTTGAGGCAGATGACCCAACTCAGCTTCCAGGCGGTGAACTTCTTCCAGCAAAAATGAAAAGGCATTCGGTACAAGATTGTCAATCATATCATAACTGCAAAAGAAGATGAAAAAAAAAAAAAAAAAAAAAAAAAACGTTAGAACTTTCTTTACTATACTTTGTTCAAAATACAAGAAACCATTGTAAAGATCATACTGACTCACCCAAGTGAAACCACTCGTCGACCGGAATGAGGAGAGATACCATCAGCCGCCTCATTCTCTTCCTCTTGCTGAGAATCTTGCTGGATGACTTCTAAGTCATATGCAGGGCCATGAGACAGTTGCTCACTAGTGTAGTAACTCCAAATATCCAAGCTTGGGAGAAGAGATTGAGGCCTCAAGACTGGATTTTCAGAATCAGATGCATACAAGAAGTTGAAGAAAAGTGGTGATCGGGCATGCTGTTTCTCAATGTAATCGAACAAAGATTGGCCGAGGTTCGGCCCTTGGCTTGTACCCGCCAACCTTCCACCTGAGGAAAAAAGATTATAACAGAATTAATAAATTAAAAGAAGCCAAACTACACACAAAAGAACAGAAGAATACATCCTCACCAGGATACACCATATCATCATCAGAGCCAGCAGTGTCAACCCCTTTATGGTGGGAGGTAAGGGACCCCCTCTTATCTTCGACCGCAGCAATCCCAACTTCTACCCGCTCAAGTTCACAATCAAGAAGGAAGGTGCGGAAGCGGCAAGACACGGAATGGTAGGCAAGAAAGCGGAGATAAAAGTCGTTGAACTCAAAGGCAAGAGGAAATTGTTGCTGAATTTGATGAACAACATCCAAAAACTGGAGGAATGTTGGGGCAAATCCTGAACTGCTGGCCTGGGAGGGTCCTGACAAGTTACTTCGGTGAGAAAAACGGTGACCAAATGCCAACCACTCCTTCTCAATCAAAACTCTGAATCCTTCAATGGTTCGGTAGTAAGGATCCAAGCAAAGCTGAGCAACAGATGAAACCTGGAATACAAAAGGGAGACGATAATTAAAAAAGGACAACATAAAAGTGTACAAGAAAAACAAATCATGGATGAAATAAAATACCTGGGCAGTAACATCCCAACCATCTTCAAGACACAGCATGACGGAAGATCCTTGCACATCCAACAAATCTACAATCGCCCCAGATAATTGCATGATATTTTGGATTTGCTGCAGCCATTCTGAACTCTCAATCAGTTTGTGGAAAGTATGTTCTGGTTCTGGATCAGGAGAACTCGGTATACACGCACGCATCAATTTCTTGAATGCTGCTTTGGTGTGCCTCACATCAGCATACTCCACGGGAATAAAATCAGTTTTGGGGGAAGACTCCGCCTGAAAGAGTAAAGAGAGCAAAATAATGACAGTAGTGAGCATATTTTACTTTCACAAAGGTGCAATGAGGAATTGGAAAATGTGATGCACTCACTTTGCCTCCCTTCATTTGAGCCTTCTCGCCCAGAATGTAGAGTGCAGCCCTCTGGAAAGTCTGGACACACTCTGTGCCTGAATCAGAGTCTGCCGAATGCCTCACATTGCCACGATGCGGCACGGGCAAGTTTGTCAAAGAACCCTGTGAACTGTTGCGCCGATCCTTGAGAGAGCCCCATCTTCCAAAAGTCTTGGGACCACCCTTTCCACCACTGCCACGAGGGAACATACTGTAAGGGTGAGTGAAAGTTAACCACAAACTTGGCTTCCCTTTGTAAAATTTGCAATATCAATATGTTATGAATAAATTTACTGCATTCAAAAGCATCCCATTAATGCAAAATTTGAGCATGTTAATCATGTTAGTGTGCATCAGAGTTAGCATTAGATAAATGGAGCCAAGTTTAGTGGTTGCGGAAGATAGACAAGCAAGGAGGGGGAGGGGGAGGACACAGAAAGGACAGTAACAGGGCACGTGGGGCAAGCCAATTCAAATCTACTCACCCTAAAGTGCCCATGGCCTTGTTGAAAGGATTGGACCGCCGAGCTATTTCTGGAGTCAAAGTGTTGGTGAGGCCATTGGCAATCCCACCATGATCTTCTGCAGCTAACAAGAGCGAGTCAATGCTCAAGTTGGAGTCAGAGTTGTCCCACGCAGCACCTTGCCGCATTACAGCGATGGGTGTGAATGATACCAGCACTGATAAATACTTTTCCTGCTCAATGGAAGAGGTGCTTTCGGATGTTGACACTGTAAAGACAGAAGATGCTTTAAATTAACAAGTAAGGCACCTTTATCTTGGTACTGTTGAAGAGAGCAATCTGGTGCAGTACCTGTAGCAGTGGGATGACCCTTCAGCATGCCCATGACACCTTTGCCGTGATAACCTGCACCACGAAGCAGCAATGCTTTGGTTCTTGGATGCTGCCAAGTTATGACAGGTATGCGACCGTGGCGATAGGAGCGACAGAAGCGCCGAATGCTCTCATCAGTTATAGCCCATGGAACAACCAGCAGGGCAGGGTAGCTGGAATCAAACAGAAACGTCAATAATAAATGAAGAACAGCAATTGACCTATGGCATCTAAATAAAGAAACACACCTTCGACACATCATGTACGCGCTATTGACAGTGGTCAAGCGGAACGTCTCTCTTTGGCGAGCAGTGCTAGCTGATGTGCTACTGATAAGACCAAGTCGTTGCCAATCCCTCACATAGCTACGTTCAGTCAACCTCTCTAAAGTCTTGGCATCGGTAGGGGCAGAGGGCGGAACAAGCCCAGGGCCTGGTATCTCAAATTCGTCCACTGCAACGAAAACAGTAGTACATAAATCAAAAGAACATTCATATTGAAGTGTCAACATGATATGCACTGATATGAAGCTTACATGAAATGTCATCCTCTGCACCATAGTCAACATTATCAGTAACTGGAAGAGACATACGGCCTGGAGAGGTCATGTACTTGTTGACATTATTACTATTGGTAACATTTGGAAGGACATATTTTTGGCGTTTAGAAGAAGTTTTTGGCTTGAAACCGGCGCGTCTGGCAGTTTTCAACAATGTTTTCTTCGCAAAGCCCCTGCACAGAGAAATCAGTAAATCGTTAATCCACCCACTTAACTTGTAATGGAACATTTATTCAGGCAAGGAACAGAGAGGAAGCATGTACCTCAAAGTCGCATTCTTTCCTTCCTTGCCCTTATGAAGGGGTGTTTGAGGCACTGCAACTTGTCCGGTGAAGGCAAAGTGATGGAAGATATGAGGGGGATGCCTTATTCGGTGAATCATTTTGCGGAAGTGCTCTATGCTTTCTGGTGTGACTTCTTCATCAAACGCTACTTTCATTAGCTGGAAGGTGCAAGATCGCAATTGGAGCCCTTCCTGCAAGCACTGATCGAGATGACCTGCTTGCTGCACAGTTACTCTCTTCTCTTTAGTGAGTGATGTCACAGGGAAAGCTCGTACTACAACTTGTTCACAAGCTAGAAGTGGGAAAAAGGAACAGTTAGTTAGGATAGATGTATACAAAGAGAGCTGACTTCAACAAAAAGAAAAAAAACAAAACAAGAAACTTACCAAGAGAATCACACGGTATTCCTTTGAAAATAATGCGATAATTTGTAATGAAGATGGCCCCCTCGGCTGGCAGCAAGGGTGGCCCACCGACCAAGCCCCCGGTCCCTTCTTCCCGGCCATCAGCCAGCATGTAAACTCTCAGCCCATCCATTATTTTCTCCTCACCAGGTAGCATACTTGGGGTCAGTATCTTTGGCTGTGAGAAGCAAAGCACATTGGTTACACTCGGAAACACACAACTTCCATACCCATGGTTTCAATGACGACCACGCTTCCTACCTTTTGTATTGGTGGAAGTCTCTTGCTTTCCCGATGAACTGCTTCTAATGTCTCAATATGCATGTGCACAACTCCAGGAATCATTTGATGAAGACAGCGGACATGTTCTGGAGAAACTCCACCTTCAGTGCACACTTTGTCAACAAAGCGAGAGACTAGCCGAATAACAGTGGCCCCAGTTTCTCCTGGGTCCTGCTCTTCAAAACCAGACTCTGCATCAGCACTGTCACTCTCAGCTACACTGTTTGTTATGCTATTCGAAGCCCTTTCATCTTCCATGGTGTGATCTTGGCGATGCTTCTGAGCAGCTACATCCAAGGGGACTAGTAAATACACCATGCGATTGGCGTAGTGAATTGCTTGACTGTATAGGGTAGCTTCTTCACTAGACACCAGGTCCTTCTGTTTATCTGCATCATAAGTTGTCCACACCCTCATTTGCTCAGCTGCAATTTCCAACGCAGAGGGTTCCTGAATTCTATTGTAACTAGAACGGTGATCTTTCCATACAAATTCTTTGCTCTGTCAAAAAAACAAAAGAGACGATTTAATAATAAAAACTAATATCACTACCCACAAGCAACACAAACAAAAAACAATCTCACAGATTTTACCTCTCTTGGGCTTACTGGACTGATGGTCATGTCAGAGTTGGCTAAACGGGAATGGGTCTGATGAGGTGTATGTGGTGTGTGGGGTCCATGTGAATGTACACTTGAGTCCATTCGAGGGAGGTACAATGCCTTAATGTCTTTCTGAACATCCTGATTAAAAGCAGCTTCCCAAAATTGTTGGTTCTGCCAAACTGCATGTTCCTATAGGTAAAACAGAGACATGATACAACTGAAGCTCCAGAAGTTCGTGGTGGTAGATAACTCTTGTACAGGAATGCCTTACCTGAATGCAAGTATATGCAAACTGAATAACACCAGTACAAAGTTTGCGACAAAATGCTGTAGCTAAGGGAAGCAAGGCAGCCGCAACCCCATGCTCATCCATAGCAGAGTCATCCTGGAAAATTAACAGAAGTTTTACAAATTTACAATAAAAATTGATCACTTAACAGTTTAAGAGACTGGTGATACCTGAAGAGCATAGTTCATTAACTTGACTACAAGATCAAATTGTTGGTGTTCAAGCATTGCTTTATTGCCAACTACATGCTGTGCTAATTCAGAGCAGAGCGCAAGTCTTGCTGCTTTTGACTTCAATGCCCTTGTAACTGCAGGAAATGACTTGCGAGCATCTGATATTTTGTTTTCAAAAATACAATTGATACAGTTACGTAAAACCTGAATAGAGAGAAGAGAACAAGGCAAACAATTAGAAACAAAAACATTATGTGCTTTTACTTTTTCAAAAACACTATACTGAACTCACTTCCAGTCTTCTTGCTGAATTGCTAACTATATGTCTATTATCATTTACATTTGAGATATGTGGACCCACTGGTACAATTCGAGGTTGAACAGTTTTAATTGATGCAAGCCTGAAAATAAATAAAGTAAGCTAATTAGTACATTGCAAGGTGGGAATTGGTCATTTTTATGAAGCTAAGTGGTCTTGATAACACATCAAAGTGAACATCCTAGATTCAAACTGCAAGAAATGCTTACCAGAAATCACTGTCCAAGAAAGCACAAATGAAACATTTAAGAAATTAAAATAAGAGTAGCAGTTTAGACCCCTTCAAACAGCAGTTACTTTTCAACAAAATCTTACCTTGATTTGAGATTGTTTTTGCTCATGTTGTCATCAATGATAGCTTGAACTTGACTGCAGTCTATATGAGGGAAGGCTGGCTGATGGATTCGAGCAAAAGCTCCATCTGGAGGCTTCAAAATTTTTTGGACATACGGTTGAGGGTTTGGACTTTCGTTTGTGTACAGTTGCTGTCCCAGCTCCTGCGAATGAAATAAATTGATTAAGTAACAAATGAACCTAAAATACAACCTGCGACTTTAGCACAATACAAAATTGAAACTTCTGACGTCAAGTTTAATCCCCACCTGAATATGGACATACAGCAGCCTCTGGTCTTGACTCTCTAATCTCAAGTGATCGCCAATATTGCTGTACAGTTCATCCCACACGTCACATGGTCTCCACGGAGCGCCTCTGTCTTGCACAAAGCCAGTGAAGAACATGCACTCCAAGACTCGAGTGGTGAAATCACAGTCAGTGAAGCCCCTCTCACCCAGGAAAGATGCCTGCAGTCAAGGAAATGAGGGTGAAAACATTCATCAATAATAGAAATTAGCAAAGAAACAGCTTGCCATCTGCTTTTCCTTACCCGTGCAAAGGCAATAACAGGTTTCGGATGGATCCTGATGATAGTCAGACAACTTCTATAGCCTTGTAACAGCTGAGCAAGGGCTCGCATGAACACGGCACGGATTTCCTTGTCCTGGACCGCAGGCGGTGTAATACGCATTGCAAGAGGAGGAAAGGCATGATCCGCACATGCCAGTTCAGGCTGCAGGACCTTACTCAGAGACTCAAAAGTTTGACTGAGTAAGGGCTCAGGGAGGAGGGGAAGTGAAATTCCATCAGGAACAAATATAGAGCCGCCATCCAGGTCAGCCATGATTACATCCATCTGAAACCAAGAAGAAACCCCCAAAAATTAATGATTTATTACGGTTTAATGCAATTTGCAGCATTGCGTTATGGCTTTACTGACCAATTCAGCCACTTCAGACTTCAATGAAGAGTGAACACCCATCACAAAAGGAGTTGGTGTTGACAGTACTTCAACAAGTGCAGCTGGGAGGAGCGGAATGTAAACATGACAATAGCGGAAAGGGTACATCAAAGCTATTAAAGCTCGACATCCATCGGTCAAACGTGAATATGACTTTGAATGAAATAAAATTTTGTGCTCAGTCATAACAGCACAGAAAAGGACCAGGACATTTCGAATTCCTGGAAGTAAAACAAAACCAAACAAAACTTGAATTAAATCTGCAATGAACATAATGTACAGAAATTAGAGATCCTGTGAATATTATACCTAATTGTTGAAAAAGAAGATGTACAGAGGTATTAGTGACTGGTAGAGAAGGGCTCAGTGGGGGCTGGAGGGCTTGCCTGTCCCCTGCTCCAATGCTGAACCGGACTTGGGGCCCCCCTGGAGGGGGTACTTGAATACATCCTAAAATGTTGCCGACTAAGGTTTCCAAAGGAATTGGAAGGCCTTCCACATACACAGTGTACATGATTCCCAGGCAGTTCTGAAATTTTAAAAAAAGGAAGATATTATTTGCTTAGCACATTAAAAAATAATTAGCAAAATGTTTGACCCCTTGAAGAAAACATACACGAAATGTTTCTATATAATCCTGACGTGAAACCAAGACGAGGCACTTTGGAGCATACATTATACTGTGATGCATAATGGTGGGCAGTGGTCTTGGTAAACTGCCACTTAGACTTGGGTGTGAGTTTTCTGCTTCTACCTGGTCTTCTTCCTGTATTTGCAAAAAATTAAAAATTAATAAACATTATTTACATTAGACTATGAACCACAATAATAATTTCACATCACCTCGTCTACAGGTTTGCTTGGGGTTATTGAAACAGTTTCGTTGAAACACAGGCATGCACAATAGTGCCGCTTGGCGTCTATGTCTGTGAGAACTGAGACAAAGAACCGAGGTTCTTGTCGTTCTGAAGAAAGAGCCCATCCTTGAGGTTGACAAAACTGAAATTGATTGAAAGTTAAGATTTATTGTTGAAAATATCAATTGGAATCCACCTGGAACTTTTGATGAAGTGAAAACCTAAACTCACCCATTCTATGCCATCAATGAAAGGCGTATCCTCCCAATCCTTTTCTGGAAAGCGTTGGATAATGACGCCATTGCTGACACCACTCCCTGAAAGTAAAATCACATGTTATAGTTTTTACCACAGATAAAAGAGGAATTTTTATGAAAATTAAAACAAAATCTAGGAAGAGATTGTAAAGATATTTCTGGAACGCAAAAAAAAAATGGGTGTAACAAGCCCAGTTCAATGAACGTCTGAAAACAACAACCTAGAAACAACTTGCTTATGTTCCCAAACAGATGCAAAATTATGTAAATGAATTTCTCCTGCCTACAGTATTTACTCTCAATAACATTCTTGATGTCAAGAATTAAATAACAGAAAAGCAAGGTTAGGAAGGCCTATCTTTGCAGAGCAATTTCTTGGCTACACTCAACACACCCTCTTCGACTCCAGCACCGTTCTTGCAACGGTGTACCCCCCAGCGCAGGACCCTCACTGACAAGCCTTCACCTCGTTTAAATTGACCCTAACCCAATGTAATCACGGGCCTTATGACACTTTCCGAAAATAACGCTGACAGCAACAGCAGAGGGGACTCTAGCCAAGAGGTGCCCAGCGAACCGTCACTTTTACCGTGTTACTTACTTTCCTTCTCATGGTCGTAGCCCACGACTACGAAGTAATCCGCTAGCCGTGTCATCGTACAGAGTGGAATTTGCAAGTTACTCTAGGGACACATTTTATTAATTCTGATAACTGCCATCATGGTGTACAAGACGAGCCTGTCCCTTCACTGCCCCTTGGAATGAATGGGTGGTGAATGGCGATGGGTGGCTTCCCCCACCACCACCGAGCTCCAATCCCGAGATGGGTGGGGTGTGGGTGTGTATTTGTTTATGGTTAATCGGTATGTGACGGGGGTTTCTTTGCCGGTTTTCGGGTGTCCGAGAGCGAGGGAAGTTTCTGCCTCTCCAAGGTAACGCATTGGGTCCCTTCGTTGTGCCTACTTCTTTGGAACTTCCCCGAAGCTACAGTCCCAACAGTGTATGCGGCGCACGGAGGGCGTCACGGAGTGTGGTTATGTCCAGTGTAAAGTTGAAACAAGTCTGTCTATTTGTGGCAATTACGTTTTCGAGCGTGCCCAGAATACAACTTTGTGGGGTAGACGCCGTTTCCCTATGATTTGGACGGGTTTCTTTGAAGCCGCAGTGAGAAATTCACAGGAATATGTGTGTCCTTTTCTTGCAGTGACACTTCCTCTGACAGAAGATGACAACTGACAAGGTGACGTTGTCGGACGCTCTCTCCAACGTCGATGTTCTGGACGAATTGACGTTGCCAGATGAGCAGCCATGTATCGAAGCACAGCCCTGTTCCATTGTGTACAGAGTCAATTTCGACACCAACTTTGAAGATCGCAATGGCTTCGTCACTGGTATCGCCAAGTACATTGAGGAGGCTACGGTTCATGCCAGCTTAGTAAGTTGATTCAAGGTGTCTTAAGTTCCCTACTGTTTGTGGCAATTATCTTATTAAATGTCTGTTTTTGTTTAGAATGAGCTCCTAGAGGAAGGGGTTGAACATGCAGTGATGCTGTACACATGGCGTTGCTGCTCCCGTGCAATCCCTCAGCCTAAATCCAATGAGCAGCCAAATCGTGTGGAGATTTATGAGAAGACAGTTGAAGTCCTGGCACCAGAAGTCAACAAGTTACTCAACTTCATGTACTTTCAGGTAATGTGTTTCTTTTTCGGCATTGTGTTACGAGTATTTGAAAGTCTGCTTGATTGTGTTGGTCTGCTTTTGCAGAGTAAAGCAATTGAAAGATTCACTTCAGAAGTCAAACGACTTTGCCACCAAGAAAAGAGGAAGGACTTTATATCTGAGGCATATATGCTGACCCTGGGGAAGTTCATCAACATGTTTGCAGTCCTTGATGAACTTAAAAATATGAAATCCAGTGTTAAAAATGATTATTCCACCTACAGACGGTAATTTAGATCCAAAAAGTATCTTACAACTTCTTAAATTGTTTAACTCTGTATTTAATTAGGTTTTGTGTCCTTTCAGAGCTGCTCAATTTTTAAAGGTCATGGCCGACTCTCAAACATTGCAAGAAAGTCAGAATTTGTCGATGTTTCTAGCTACTCAAAACAAAATTCGAGATACAGTCAAAGAGAACTTGGAGCGAGTTCCAGGATTTGAAGATTTATTGTCTGATGTAGTTTCTCTCTGTGTTCACATGATGGAAACTCGAATGTATTTGGCCCCTCATGAGAAGCACATGCTAGTGAAAGTGATGGGATTTGGCCTTTTTCTCATGGATGGTGAACCACAAGCTCTCTCCAAACTTGACCAACGGAAAAAGTTGAATCTAGCCAAGATTGACCGTATCTTCAAAAACCTTGAAGTTGTGCCCTTATTCGGTGACATGCAAATTGCTCCATTCAACTATATCAAAAGAAGCAAGAATTATGAACCTGGCAAGTGGCCTTTATCCTCTTCTGCTGCTGCAAGCCCACAATCTGATTTGATGGTTCATCTACCTCAAATACGAGACGACCACCAAAAGTACATTGCAGAGCTGGCAAGATACAGCAATGAAGTTACCACAACGTACAAAGAGTCTCGCTCAGATGCTGAGAACAAGGACACTGCTGATCTTGCCCTGAGAGGTTTGCAGCTTCTCTCTGAGTGGACAAGTGTTGTGACAGAGTTGTACTCTTGGAAACTGTTGCATCCTACGGATCACCATCAGAACAATCAGTGCCCAGTGGAAGCAGAAGAATATGAAAGAGCCACTCGTTACAACTATGGGGATGAAGAAAAATATGCTCTGATTGAAGTGATTGCCATGATAAAAGGGCTCCAAGTTTTAATAGCTCGAATGGAGACTGTATTCATTGATTCGATTCGCAGGAATATCTATGCTGAGCTTCAAGATTTTATTCAGCTGTTTTTGAGAGAACCTTTGAGGAAAGCCGTGAAAAATAAGAAAGACCTGATTCGCAGTATTCTTTTGTCTGTTCGTGAGACCTGTGCAGACTGGCAAAGAGGAGTGGAACCTCCTGGAGATCCAGCATTGAAGGGAAAGAAGGACCCAGATAGTGGCTTTGGTATCAAAGTCCCCCGTAGAAATGTGGGCCCGTCATCCACACAGTTGTACATGGTCCGCACAATGCTCGAATCTCTAATTGCTGATAAATCTGGCGGGAAGAGAACATTGAGGAAGGATATTGATGGTCAATTTTTGGTTCAAATTGATCAATTTCACAAAAACTCATTTTTCTGGAGTTACCTTCTCAAATTCAGTGGTACGTACCACTGACATTTTTATTAAATTTGCTATGTATTCAAAAAAATGATTCTTACTTTAATTCATTGCAGAATCACTGCAGGAATGCTGTGATTTATCACAGTTGTGGTACAGGGAGTTTTATTTGGAGATGACCATGGGCAGACGGATTCAGGTAAGAACTTGTTTGATCAACACATGATTGTTAAATCTACGCCGTTGTCTCAAATATGTTTGTGTGAACTCAATGGCAACCCTCCTCATGAAGCCATACGATACCATTCTGATGGTCACATTTTTATGCATAACATGATTTCTTATAGAAATGTACTGTGCAACACCAACATAATGATGAGTGCACCGACTTGATCACAATGGAAAAAAGAATTCAGGTACAAAGGTAGCCTGGGTGTGCAGTAGAATGTAGACTCACCCTTTAGTCAGTTATCTTATCATCAGTTTTAGCTGATGCTATCTTCACTGAGCTTTCACTTTTTGAAAAGAGAAAATGTACTACAAGTTTGCTGATTTTGAGAAGTGCTTTGCTACATAACATCCTGTTACAAAATCATAGCTGCATGCCTTTTGCTGTTGTCTTGTATAGTAGGTAATGGTATTGTGTTAAAAGTGCTCAGAGTTTTTTTTTTTTTTTCTAACTTTCTTACTATAATTGTTTTGTTGTGTTGTTTTGCTTGATTTTTCTTCTTTTTTAATGCAACGTGTGAATTTGTGTAAAAGTGTGTTGTGTCTATGTGCTGTAAATTTGTTATTTTTCTGAGGTGGAATAGACTAGATAGTAAAACTCGTGAAACTTTTTTAAATGGCCGTGGCTACAGCTTTTTGACAAAGACTGACAACAAAAGTGATCTTCTTCTGTTTCCTGGGCAGGCTATCAATATTTCTGTTTGCTAATTTTTAATAATGTTTTTCACAGTTTCCGATTGAGATGTCAATGCCATGGATTTTAACTGACCAAATCTTGCGCAACAAGGAACCTTCAATGATGGAGTTAGTACTGCATCTTTTTTCCTATGGAGTTTGATTCCTGGAGTCCCAATCATTAATCTTATTTTGATTTTCTTGTCAGGTATGTGCTCTATCCTTTGGACTTGTACAATGATAGTGCTCATTATGCCCTCACTGTTTTTCGGAAACAGTTTTTGTACGACGAAGTTGAAGCTGAGGTGAACCTGTGTTTTGATCAATTTGTGTACAAGCTCAGTGAACAGATCTTCACTCATTACAAGCAGCTTGCCAGCAGGTATGTTGTTGCATTTGTTTCATTTATGAATCTTATTATTATTTCTACCATGTTCATTAACCAAAAACTTATTGTCTCAGTATTATTCTGGATAAGCGGTTTCGAAGTGAATGTGCAGCCACTGGTGTTTATCTTCCCTATCCTCGAGCAAATCGTTATGAAACCCTTTTGAAACAACGCCATGTACTGCTGTTGGGCCGCTCCATTGATTTGAATAGACTCATAACACAGCGCATCAATGCCGACATGCACAAATCTTTGGATTTGGCTATCAGCAAATTTGAAGCTGGTGATATTACTGGTGTTGTGGTCAGTACGGTTACATATCCCAATTTTTGCTGTGCAGGTTATTCCTTTTCCAAGCATTTTATTTTTAACAATAATTTTCTTTGTAGGATCTGGAAAGCCTTCTTCAAGTTAACCGTTTCTGTCACAAATTGCTGTCCAAATTTTTGGCCCTGGATGATTATGATGCCATGTTTAGAGAAGCAAATCACAATGTGCTTGCTCCCTATGGAAGAATAACTTTACATGTTTTCTGGGAACTGAACTATGATTTCCTTCCAAATTACTGCTACAATGCTGCAACAAATAGGTTTGTGTTCTGTAGATCATCAATCATCATTTGTCAACATATTCAGTGTTAAAAACTTGATTAAATTTCTTTTCTGTGATGGTTAAAGATTTGTGAAATGTCGAGGGATAACATTCACACAACCTGTTCACCGGGACAAACCTCCTCAGATGGGACATCAGTATCTGTGGGGCAGCAAACAGCTCAACATAGCCTTCACAGCTATTCATGAGCAGTACACAGGTACAATGCAGCACTCCTTTCTTGTCAAGCTACTGCTGGATATTGCTCTATCAAGTTGCTTTGTCGCCTCTTTTGCAGGTTTTGTGGGACCTTTCCATTTCCGGACACTGTGCCGCCTATTGGGGTATCAAGGCATTGCAGTTGTTATGGAAGAACTGCTGAAGATTGTTAGGAGTCTTATTCAAGGAAACCTGCTTCAGTTTACCAAGATCCTGATGGATGCGATGCCTAAGCTTTGCAAGTTACCAAGATACGACTATGGATCACCAGGTAAAGTGGACTTAATGTTATCATGTGAAACAACCTTTCTTCAAATGATCTGTCCATCTCTACCAAATCATCCGTTTCTTTGCAGGTGTTTTGGGCTATTATCATGCCCAATTGAATGACATTGTGCAGTACCCAGATGCTAAGACAGAATTGTTTCACAATTTCCGAGAGCTTGGAAATACTATCTTACTATGTCTGTTGTTGGAGCAAGCTTTGTCTCAAGAAGAAGTCTGTGATTTACTTCATGCAGCTCCCTTCCAAAACATTCTGCCTCGTCCTTTCTGCAAAGGTAAAGCAACTAATTTATTTATCTATTTTGCAATTATTCTTTCTTTCTAATATCTAAATTCTGTTTCTCAATTGCTTTTTCAGAGGGCGAAAAACCAGAAAACAAACAAAAGAGATTAGAGGGGAAGTATGCAGCAATCCAGATAGTGCCAAATATTGAGCGGTTGGGCACTGCAAAGGTAATGTTTTATCTTCAGTATAAGTGTTGGTACTGGGGCAAGATCACTACAAGTCTGTAATTCTACAGCCCATTGCTTACTTTTTTCCTTTATATTTACAGCAAGCCATGATCTCTCGCGAGGGAGATCTTCTGACTCGAGAAAGACTATGTTGTGGCTTGTCCATTTTTGAGGTTGTTCTTACTCGACTGAAGAGCTTCCTGGATGATCCTATTTGGGCGGGTCCTCCTCCTTCAAACGGAGTAATGAACATTGATGAATGTTCTGAGTTCCACCGACTGTGGTCTGCTTTGCAATTTGTTTACTGCATTCCAGTGGGAGGCAACGAATTCACAGTGGAGTAAGTGGCATGACACTGCTTTGTCCTGATTGAGTTCCTTCTTCATGCTTTGATAATTATTTGAAACTTGGTCTGTTTCAGGGAACTTTTTGGGGAGGGTCTCAATTGGGCCGGTTGTACCATGATAGTGTTGCTTGGTCAACAGAGGCGTTTTGAGGCCTTGGATTTCTGTTATCACATTTTAAGGGTGCAAAGAGTCGATGGGAAGGATGAAGTTGTGAAGGGCATTGTAAGTGTGTTCTCATTACACTTGTGCATCAAAATCACCCGCAAAATCTTAATTCTTTGAAATATTTTGTTTACAGCCATTGAAGAAGATGGTAGATAGAATTCGAAGATTCCAGGTACTCAACTCCCAGATATTTGCCATCCTGAATAAATTCCTAAAGTCAAGTGAAATTGACACCACTTCAATAGAGCATGTCAGATGCTTCCCACCACCTCCACCTGCCTCCATGTCTCATTACCACAGCAGATCAGAGCAGTACAATCAAACTGGTCATCACTCATAAATGTGTGTTACATGCATTGCAGTAAGTACAACAATGGCCTAGATGGTGGTCAATCCAATGAAAAGCAATTAAATATTGTTCCAAAAAAAATTGTCTTGTTAGTGCATGTTGATTTCAGCAAGAAAATTAGAACCTTGTGTAGGAAAGAAATCTTAGTCACCATTTTTTACCATTATACGGTAATATAAACTTATTATTGTTCAATTTTTAGAATGAGTCTTTCATTGTAACTCTTATTGACTTTTAGATATTTATCTTATTAAATTTACTTTATCTTTTAGCAAAGTTGCCTAAGAAATTATGTTGTTGTTTTTGTTTAATTATTTTATGTATTCCTGTTTATATGACTTGCATTTTCTTACAAGCTGCTTTTATACTTCGTTTTACATGTGTCTGTCTTCCAAGTTGATCGCATGATTTTTATAATTCATTTTTACCATGATACTGGTATGCTATGTGCTTGGAAAAATGTTTGGTGAGCTCCATGTACTGGAATTCAATTTTTGCTCTTTGATTTATGACTTTGTAAATCTTAAGGAATCCTTTCTGTAGTAAATCCTGTTGTGAGTTTTTCATAACATAAGTCTTATTATCTATACAAAACTCAAGTCTGGGGAAATTTTCCGAACTTTACATTGATACATTCCTCATTGTACCTTATGACCACTGAAGTATCTCAGTGGTCAATTATCTTTCTTCCTACGTATTGCAGGGACATGCAATTTGTTCTCTAAGCCTATGTTTGTGCCAAAAGTTTTATACTACTATGATGGAGTGGATTTGTTTTGTTTTTTTATATATTTAACCTGAATGAGTGTTACATGGACATTTTTGTATCAAGTGTGTGTGCAGTTCCAAGTTTGCTGAGTGTATATGTCTTGCCAAGTCACTGTTACTGCTGAGGGGAGTAGTATAACTAGTCACTGATACTTTTGTGATCCATCTGGCATTCAATATAAACAACATGGTATTTCAATTATCAGGACTCCTTGTGCTTGTTGTATGTGCATGAACTGGTGTCAATAAATAGATGACATTCAAAAATGAATCTACTAGTGCAGTTATCTTTATTCCTGATATCCAGAAAACAACACACAGTACACTCTCACATATGATTATAAAACAAAAAGATGCGACGTACATACAATAAAAACTATAAAATAATACAGCTTCCTCACTAGGAGGTACAAAAGAAACCTTAACAATAAGATAAATATAGTCAAAATTTGAGGGGAAACCATTCTCACGCTTACTGTTTTCCCAAGTCACAAGGTTATCACTATCACAAGTATCACAATAGCTAGACCGTGATTTTAAATCAAATGCTTGAGAATATCAAGCTAACCAAAGCAGCTTTTCATCATTGCTTAGCTGACTAAAAGAAAGCTACCTTTCCAAAGAAGAATCAAAAAAATAAAAAGACCTGTAAAGAGTATTTAGATAGGAATGTTGCTGGATGCAGCCAAATAAAAATTACAAGTACATTCATCAGAATTGAATTGAAATGTACAAAAAAATGGAAAAAGAATTTTTTTCCTCTCAAAAGTGTAAAAAAAACAAAAAAACAAGTAAGATAATTTAAGCTTACTATTCTTCAAACCATTAAAGGAATTTGAAGGAAGCAGCTATAAAACTGCAGGCTGTAACTTAACCAAGGATGAGTACTGCCTTCCCCAAGCAGAATTCTTACTCATGATGGTAGAAATGAAGTTTTTCTTCTCTAATTCCTAAATTGATACACACCAAGGATTAAATAGGAATAAACTATGTATGAAGAAATTCATACACCCTACACCACACTTGGAAAGAATCAGCAAGAGGAATTCAAAGGGTTAACAGAATAATCAATTCATCAGAGCATTGAGGACTCGGTTCACATTTCCCTTGTACTCCACAGCCAACTCAACAATCATGCGCTGGTGAGGATCAAAGCCCATCTCAGCAAGGGCTCTCAAGCACTCCTGGACGCCTTGGTCTGAAATGGAAACAAACCATGAATGAGTTACGACCGCGGGTCACAGCACAGTCAATTCTGCGAAACTCAAAGTGTAGGCGACAGCGCTTACCCCTGTGCAGGATGGGCGTGGCAGGCATGGCCTCTGCGGGCAGCGGCTCCGCGGGGCGGCCGGCGACTGGGGACACTTGGGCAGCGGCAGCGGCAGGCTGCTCTGGGGTGGGCTCCTTGGCCGGCAGCTTGGGGTACACTGAAGTCTGTTCACGGTCGCGTTCGCCGCCTGCTTCCTTCACTGCAATCATCGAAAGCGAAAGCGGTTTACAACAGGCAGCCGACGGGGCAGGGGCAGCCGCCGCAGCGTGGTTGGCCAGACACTTACAGTGTGCGTCCACGACGGTCCAGCCCTCGGCGTCGGCCTCCGCACTGGAGGAGCGGGAGGAGCGGCCGGACTTGGGGGAGGACGACCCGGACCCGGACGCGGCAGCTTGTGCCTCCTGGGGCAGGGGCATCGCCGGCCTCTCAGCGACCGGGCTCTGGGACTGGGTGCCTGACGAGGACGCCTCGGGGGCGGCGGCCTTCTTGGCGTGCACGGAGAACGGGTTGGTGGGGGGAGTGCTGGGGCCGGCCTGTGCAGCCTCTGGGGCAGTTGGAGCCGGGTCGTTCAGACGCACGTCGGCCAGGTTCTGGGCCACCTCCTGCAGCAGGGTCTCCGGCACTGTGGAAGGAAAAAACAGCCAGTCATTATCGCAACCAACACAGTGCCACGGTGAAGATGAAGAACGGCAAGTCGACTTACCAGGAGACATGTGCTGGAACAGCTGTTGCAGAGTGCTCAAGTTCTGGGGGCTGAGAAGGTTGCCAAGAGTCTGTGGGTTCAGGAACGAGCCCAAAATTCCAGATGGGAAGGGGCACCCAGTGTTGGCCCTTGAAGAGGCTGAAGCTTCAGCACTGCAACCTGCTGAGGATAAAGCATTCAAATTGACCTTCATAAAATCCACGCCAAAATCTTGAGACTAAAAAGTGCTCAAGCAAAAGATGACATACCAGAGGCAGAGCTGCTGCATTCCTTTTCTTTACGGTCTCTCTTTTCCCTCTTGTCCTTCTTGTCCTTCCTGTCGTCCCTCTTCTTGTCCTTTTCCTTATCGTCCCTCTTGCACCGCTTGGAGTGGGGAATCATGTCAGCAAGGTCAGAGAAATCCGCAAAAGGGATGTCATACATTTTGTGCATGCGGCGCTCCTGCTTCTTGATGCGGTTTTCAATCTTGCGCAGAGCATCAGACATGTAGCGCATACCCTTGGCAAAGTTGTTGAGCTGGAAATGGAAACAAAAAGTGTTAAAAGAGTGGAATTGAACAGAAACTGAGAAGGAAATAATCTCCGAAGAATCTGTCAAAAAACGAAACTGATGATCACCTTGGGATAGTGGCTCATGCTGAGAGGAATGCGGAGCATGACATGTTCCTTGTGAATGTTCTGCGATTCACACTCATGGCACAGGTCATAGTCTTCACACTCCAAACACTTGTAACGATGACCAGGAACATGCTTGTTGCATCCATCACAGTAAACATTGGGATGGAACTTCAAATTAGACGACCTCAAAGAGGACTGCCAGGGTCGCTTGCATCCAGAGCTGAACTGAACCCCATCTTCCTCTTCATCGTCATCATCTGAATCATCATCAGCAGCAGAAGAGTTCATTGCGTTTCCAAGAAGAACGTCAATTGGTTTCCACTCAAAAGTAGCTGAAATAAATTTTAAACAATTGAAACAAGGCCATCTTTTCAGCAAACAACCAAAAGGAGAAAAGGAGAAAAGTACTTACGCTGGATGCAGACAGAGATTGGATTCTTGACGGTGAGATACAAGCGGCGAACTTGTTCAGATGTCTCAGTCAAAAAGGTAAGGAGCTCGTCATTGGATGAAATAATGATTTCATCATTTTCAAAATCTATTAAAGAGATGAGAGATCAATTTTCTGGTCACTGTTTTAATGTGTATGACCACATTACAAGCACGTGAATACAAACCTTTCCAGCTAACAGAGAAGTCCTGTCCATTAAGATTTGGGAAAACCAGACGAAGCTTCTTTTTGAGCAGATCAAAGCTTGTCACTTCATTCTGCTCCACTCCAAACCGACGTACTTCCACGGGCTTGTCAGATCCCTTCTGGGAAAGGTATGCCTTGAAGGACACAGATCCCGAAGAATTGAGACCAGCAGTGCTGGGAGTCGAAGATGCCCTAGAATCAACAATAATTCAAAATTATAAAAAATTTGCCTGGATTTTTTTTTAAATATGTGCACAAGTTACATTGAGCGATGTGGGGACATGGGCCCCCGGGGCATGAGGAGTGAGCGAGAGTTTTACAAATAATTCCATCGTTTGAATGGTGCGATTGCAGTGTGGTGCATCGGATCGGTCGAAACGGGCCACGGGCCGCGGGGCACTTATCAGCACTGCACGCGAAATGCGCAGTCAAGCCAGATAGCGGTCCTGGCTTACAGCAAGTACGATCAACGAACGACAAAAAACCACGACCGGTTGCCAGCGCGACGTTAACTTTGACCATTAAGAGCGGAAAGGTGAAGTGGGCACAAGTGATGCAACTTGTGCCCTGCCGTGGCCTATGAGCCTATGGCGGCCAGACCCACCGAGCCTGCCAGGCAAATAAAGCATCTGCTCATTTCGGAAGCCCGAACCGTCATTGACAGTCAAACATTCACGGACGCCAGGCTGCTTCGGTATTCCCCCTATCAAAGCGCCCACAATGGCAGCGAAGCCATTTTCAGGAAATCGGACCAAATACGATTTGAGCCATCGATCGGGGGCTGCCTGGAGAACAAAGCGAGGACTCACATTTTGTCTGCGGCGATGGAACACACTTGTCACGATTCAACACGAGGTGCGCGGTGCGCGAGCTGCAGCGAAGTCAGCAAAACACTGGCCTTGGAACACCAAGGGTCCTGAATATATACGGCTCGCAACGCAAACCCTTCTCTCCGTGGTGCAAGCGGGGCGACCGATGACTACTGCGAACTGCGGGCGACTGCGAGCTGACGGGCAGACAAGTGACGATGATAAACAAAAACACCTAGCAGAAGACACGCCTCGACGAAGCCCTCGTGCGAGACTAGCTTGCGTGGTATGGGAAATCCTACGCAACACAAATGTTTATTTTGGATAATTCACGGAAACAGGGAAGTCTGTCGTGGAAAAATTATACCTATGTAGTTATTTTTTGAGTAATTGACCATCAGGATAAGTTTTCCGATCACGTAAAGCTCTAGGTTCGGAGAATTTGGCTTTAAAAGAAACGCTGCTCGGTGGCGCCCTCGGGTGGGCGTTGCAGCAACTAGTCCTTCCCGCTGATTCGTCGCCAACACAACGTACATTTCGAGGCCCATTTCCACTTGCTGTGCGCGACGCCAGTATAAAAATAATGAAACAAATACGTTTAAATTAAGTGTAGTGATCGTTTTTGTGTTTCGTGAGGGTGGCCTACGCCGATTTCGGAGGTGCCGGTGGACGTGAGGGAATGGCCAGGTTGGCAGCACTGGGCCGGTGGAAGGGGGAAGGGCCACGGGCGGGGGTTTCGAGCATGACACGGCGCGTTGACCGCTGACGGGACGGGCACGGTAGAGGCCTGCGGCGGGCGGGTATTCAATACCCGTGAAGCCTGTAACTTCGTTGGTTGCTGTCAAAAACATTCCAGATTTCGCATGAACATAGTTTTATGATTGGATCAGCGCCTCTCAAACTTCTGTGCGTTTCGGTCCATTTACTTCAAAGTTATAGGCTTCACGGGTATTGGATACCCGCCCGCCGCAGGCCTCTAGGGCACGGGGCCACGCGGCCCACCGGCCGGGATGCCGATGCGTCATGCTCGCCGGCTCCTGTCGAGACCTGCCGGGAAGCGTCTGGAAAGAGCCAGCTGGGCCAGGGGGCGGGGGAGGGCGGGGGACCGCACACACATCACGGCCCGCGAAGTGCACCCATCCCGCCCCACAGTGGGCCAGAAGACCGGTGGAGGCGGCCAAAGCTGTAGACGCGTTTTGAGCTCCAGAGTCGCTAAGCAGGCCTCGAACCGAACGTGTGACCGCACCAATGGATTCCTCGTTCGAAGAACAATCTATTGGTGGGGTCACACGTTCGGTTCGAGTCCTGTTTAGCGACTCTGGAGCTCAAAACGCGTCTAGAGTTTTGGCCGCCTCCACCGGTCTTCTGGCCCACTGTGCGCCCGCTGGCGGAGCGACTTGGCATCCAGTGGGATGCGTTTGCCAAGGACACGCGTGGCCAGTGATTCATCCAGTTTCGCATTGATTTTCACAACAAAAACAAAAATAAATGAAGAGAGCAGCCTTCTTGCGCAACGCTCCTAGTGCGATGAGCCTGAAGGGCCTGAAGTAGGGCTGTGCGGTTAACCGGTTAACCGGTTATTGCATTCGGTTATTTCATTAACCGGCCGGTTAAGTTAATGCCTTTTCCGGTATAGGTTAACCGAATAACCGACAAATACGGTTAACCGGCCTTCGGTTAGCCGGTTTTCCGTCATGCTTAGTTGCATCATTGTTTCGGGAGACCACCTATATACTTAATTAATATGGAGATTTCTAATTTTGATAATAAAAACCTGTATATAATCCAAAGGTAATTGTTTTTTTAAATGCCCCGATTATTTTATCATGTTACACGCAATTTGTTTCGAAAAATTTCAATTTTTTTAAAACTAACCGGTTATTTTGTGAAATTGCAATAACCGGTTATTGTGATTTTCTTTAAAAACCGGTTAATTTTGACAAACCGGTTAACCTGGAAAGTATCCGGTTATTTCGGTAACCGGTTATTCGGTTAGAATTCGAATAACCGCACAGCCCTAGCCTGAAGTTCCCCGGAAAGCAAAAGAGAGAGAAAGGGCGAAAACCCAAGTAAACAACAATAACAGTGTGTGGCCCACCGGTCCTCCCCACCGGTGTGGCTGACGCAACGCTGTTAGAGAATTAGGGCTGGGTTTGATAGCGCAGCGCACAAAAGTAAAAATAACGAATGGGTCCGATGTTGCTAAAAAAAGTGTACCGCCGTTATCGAACTATCAATAGAGTGAGTCCAAGGCACGATGATCGAGCAGTCGTGGTTTTTCACCCAGCGGCATGGTTTTTGGCCAGCGGCATGTGAAACCTGAGTGACTCAGGCGAGGGGACGGAAGTTGTGCACTTCTTTTCTTCCTCTTTTCCAGCCAGCGGAATGGCCCATTTGGTCGATTGTCATAAACCCGATTTTGTCCCTGTGGCCTTATGCCGGGGCTGGGGCTGTTCGTGGCGCGGCGGCCGGCGGTTCGTTCGTGTGCAATTGGAGCAAGGTCAAGTAGTGCGAGCCCTCGGCCGCCACCACCGTGCCGCCGTAACATAGCGGGCACTCGGCGCGCAGAAAGGAGGAAAGGATGGTTCGATTATCGATTTCTCGAATCCGGAAATCCGGCGCCGCGCATCCGTCGTTCTGCCAAAGATAACGCAGATTGGCCAAACACACTCTGTCTCTGTCTTGGAGTCGCCTCTCTGCGTCACTGTGTCATGGCGGCGTGATCCGCGGCATCTTTGAGTTTGTATATATCGCACGGTGGGCCAGAAGACCGGTGGAGGCGGTCAAAATCCCGGACGCGTTTTGAGCTCCAGAGTCGCTAAATAGGACTCGAACCGAACGTGTGACCCCACCAATGGATTGCTCTCCGAACGAGGAATCCATTGGTGGGGTCACACGTTCGGTTCGAGTCCCATTCAGCGACTCTGGAGCTCAAAACGCGTCTAGAGTCGCGGCCGCCTCCACCGGTCTTCTGGCCCACTGTGAGGCGGTTCGAGCCTCGCGCCGGCCGGGTAGGCAACCCTTCGCGCTGCCGAGGCGCTTGGGCTGCCTTGGCCACTGGGTGGCGACGGGGCATCGCCGGGCATCGCCGGGCATCGCCCCCACGGCACATCCTTGTGGCCGTGCAGGCGGTGCAGGCCGCGCCCGTCAACTTCCTCCAGTGCAGTAGTGTGACGTCAACGCCGCCCACGTCCTCCACGGCCAGCGCAGCAGCAGCGCGGTGCCCCAGGTCGCGGAGTGGAGTGGCGACCTGGCCATCGCCGACCCCGCGTCCAATCACGATAGGCGAAAATGCCGCTCTGTTTTGAGAGGGAGCGCCTTGACGCCCACCTGTCGCTCCCCCTTCTTCCCGTTTGAAACCAGGCGCCAAAGATAAGGCGGGACCAGCGGTGCCTTATCCGTGAGGACCGTGAGGACCGCGGGGAGGCTGTACACGATGACGCCTTATCAGCTCGCCGACCGCGGCAGCCGGGCCGACGCGCCGACCCTTGCTGACCTGCCCTGCACTGTCCGCGGGACGCTAGGGGACTTGATTGATTCGTTGTTTTGGCTCGGGCTTTGGCTCGGTGAGGTAACGCGAGGCTAGCTGCCGGCGGCACCGCTCGGCGGCGTGCCCGAGGCACAGTGGGCCCGGGGCTGTCCGCGACAACCCTGCGAGATAGCGCGCCCAGATTTTGGCGCGCGAGCCTTATCTTTCTAGGCGGCAGGAGGAGGATCGACGGAAAACACAAAAAAAATTTCAAAAGTAAAATATTTTGAATATTTTTTGCCGTTGTTTCTGTTTGCTTCTATGACACTAGTACGAGTACGGTGTGTCAGCGAGAAGATTTTTGAAAGTTTTTGGTCCCGCTAGGTAAAACGGTCCTGGCTAAGTTGCGCAAGCCGAGTTTCTTTTCGATACGAGGGGGGCGTGTGTGAGTGTGTGTGAGACGAGGTGCTGGTCCAGACCGTCCCGATCGCCAGACTGGCACTGCGTGGTCGGAGTGGCACAGCCGTACATGGCATGCAACACAGGTAACCGGGGCAAGGGGGCCGCGGGGGCCGCGGGGGCCGCGGGGGCTGGAGTGGGAGCGGGCCTGCCGCCCACTGCCTGCCGCGCGGCGCCCCGGTACGCCCCGCCGCAGCTCGCGGCCCGTGCCCCACGCCGCCGCGCCCCACGCCCGCCACGCCCCGCCGAGGCCCGCTGCGCCGGCGAGGCGGCGAGGCCCCGGCACAGCCCAGCCGGTCACTCTAAAGCAAGATGTTGTAGCGCGAACACAAGGCACGGCAGCACGGCGCCACATTCACACGAGTAGTGCCCGAACGCGACGCGACGCGACGCGACGCGCCACCCGAGTAGCCGACCGCGGCGCCGCGAACCGCCAACTCCGCGAACGAACGACGAGCCCGCATTCACTCGCGGGACCGACCGCGACCTCCGCGACGAACCGCGCGCCCCACCGCGGCCATGACCGTGGGGAAGAAGGGAGAGACGTCCTCGTCGACGACCTCGTCGACGGCGGCCGCCACCAGCAAGACGGTGGTGTCGTCGTCGACGGCCTCGTCCAGCTCGACGAGTAAGGTGGCCAAGGCCTCGACGGCGAGCTCGAGGACCGCCAGCTCGCCGCAGCCCGCCAGGAAGCATGTCACGTCCACCACCACGACCACCGTCGGCGAGGTGACGACGGTCAACGGCAAGCCGGTGGGCATCACCACGACCATCGTCAGCAACGGCGGCGCCCTGGACGCCGGCGCCGGCACCGTGGTCACCAGGACCACGAAGCGCGTGACCGGCGGCACCACCAGCAGCGTCACCACCAGCTCCAAGGTGGTGGAGACCGTGTCCAGCTCCGTGCTGCGCTCCTCCAGCAGCAGCCACGTGGTGAGCCAGTCCACCGTCGCGGGGGTCTCGGGCACCGCGACCGGCGCCATCACGTCTTCCAGCCACGGCGGCGGCCTCGGCGGCGGCAGCACCTCCTTCACCTCGGTGACCACCACCACGGGCAAGCAGGAGGGCCGCGTGGACCCCGGCGCCAGGGGGATGCCCGTGGCCGGCAAGCCTTCCGTCGCGGCCACCAAGGCCACCACGTACCACATGCTGGGCGGCGACGGCGGCAGCGTCACCATCACCGACGTCACCGACGTCGTCCTGCCCAGGGCCCAGCACGCCTCCAGCCACCAAGAGGCGTCCTCGTCCTCCAAGATGTCTTCCTCCAAGATGTCGTCCTCCATGTCCTCGTCCAGCCAGCGCGTCGTGCAGTCCAGCGACTTCCTGCAGCAGGAGAAGCAGGGCTCTTCCGAGGCCGTGTCGCTGCAGGCCTTGTCCTCCGCCAAGGCGGAGGCCGCGTCCTCCAGCAGGGCGTCCAACCTCAAGGCCGCCGACGCGTCCACCTCCCTCATCCAGATGGAGAAGTCCTCGTCCGTGCTCGGGGGGTCCTCCTCCTCCAGCAAGGCGGAGTCGTCTTCCAAACCCAGGACGACCACCCTGGCCGCGGGGCTGCCGGCTGGGTCCACCGAGACCACCTCGGTGACACTGCTGGACAGCAAGCAGTCCGGAGCCTCGCTGGCGGGGCTCACCACCTCCATCACCAAGACGTCGTCGTCGTCCTCATCGTCCAAACAGATTTCATCCAGCACCAAAATGTCCTCGTCGAGTCACCAAGTCTTCGAGTCCGGCTCCATGGTGGGCGGCACCTCCACGAGCCTCGTACAGCACGGCGCCGACGCCAAGTCCAGCAGCACCGGGGTCGTCAAGTCCTCCAGCACGACCGGGATGTCCTCCAGCAAGACGTCCATGTCTTCCAGCCAGGTCGTGCAGTCCTCCACGACCAACGAGTCCCTTAAGCAGATCTCGAGCGAGTCCGTCAAGCAGAGCTCCAGCAGGTCCACCATGCTGGACGAGAAGGTGTCCAGCAAGACCACAGCGGACGGCTCGCTCAAGCAGACGGCCGTCATGTCCTCCAACCGCGAACAGGCGGCCGTGGCGACGACGCCCACCCCGGCCGCGGGGAAGCCGAGCGTGTCGGCCAGCAGCTCGCAGCAGGTGTCCGTCGTGACGTCCTCCACGAGCAGCAGCACTGTGAAGGAGCAGGCCTCCGCGAACCTCAAGACGAGCAAGACGAGCAAGACCACCACCACGAAGCAGGAGGCCGCCAAGGAACAGTGCATCTGCGAAATCTGCACCTGCGGGTGAGTCTGGGAGTGAGAGTGACCAGATGGTCAACACGCGCTCCGGAGGGGAAGGACAGTGGAGAAACAGTGAAAAGAAAAGCGCGTGGCGGCAAAAAAAGTTGCCGCCGACGGGGATCGAACCCACGGATACACCCGAAGGGTTAGCTCAGTGGTTCTCAACCTTAGGGTCGCGACCCAAGCGGGGTCGCGAAATTTTTTTAAGGGGTCGCGGCGATGCTGGGGTCGTGTTTTAGGCCGATTTTAAGCAGCCACTGCGTCTGATCCGAGGCGGGCATTTTGCTCCCTCAACGGGCAATCGGTCTTTGGACCTTCCTTTAGCATGCCTTTGTTACGGAGTGCAATTATCAGTCTTAGTTTGGGAGCAGTATTGTCTCAAAGTTGGCCGAAACGCTCAGAAATGTCTATGAAAAATCGTGTTTTGGGCCGATTTTAAGCAGCCACTGCGTCTGATCCGAGGCGGGCATTTTGCTCCCACAACGGGCAATTGGTCTTTGGACCTTCCTTTAGCATGCCTTTGTTACGGAGTGCAATTATCAGTCTTAGTTTGGGAGCAGTATTGTCTCAAAGTCGATCAAAACGGTCGCAAGTGTCTTTGAAAAATCGTTGTGACTATTTTACTCAACTTTGAGACAATACTGCTCCCAAACTAAGACTGATAATCGCACTCCGTAAGAAAGGCATGCTAAAGGAAGGTCCAAAGACCAATTGCCCGTTGAGGGAGCAAAATGCCCGCCTCGGATCAGACGCAGTGGCTGCTTAAAATCGGCCCAAAACACGATTTTTCATAGACACTGCTGACCGTTTCGGCCAAATTTGAGACAATACTGCTCCCAAACTAAGACTGATAATCGCACTCCGTAACAAAGGCATGCTAAAGGAAGGTCCAAAGACCAATTGCCCGTTGAGGGAGCAAAATGCCCGCCTCGGATCAGACGCAGTGGCTGCTTAAAATCGGCCCAAAACACGATTTTTCATAGACACTGCTGACCGTTTCGGCCAACTTTGAGACAATACTGCTCCCAAACTAAGACTGATAATCGCACTCCGTAACAGAGGCATGCGAAAGGTTGGTCCAAAGACCAACTGCCCGTTGAGGGAGCAAAATGCCCGCCTCGGATCAGACGCTGTGGCTGCTTAAAATCAGCCCAAAACACGATTTTTCATAGACATTTCTGAGCGTTTTGGCCAACTTTGAGACAATACTGCTCCCAAACTAAGACTGATAATTGCACTCCGTAACAAAGGCATGCTAAAGGAAGGTCCAAAGACCAGTTGCCCGTTGAGGGAGCAAAATGCCCGCCTCGGATCAGACGCCGTGGCATGTTAAAGGAGGGGTCCCGTGGGGTCGCGAAATTTTTCCTGGGGGTCGCGGAAATTTTTGGCTTCAAATTTGGGGTCGCGAGCCGAGAAAGGTTGAGAACCGCTGGGTTAGCTAGTGTACCAGCCACTCCGACCCATTGCCGCTCGTACGTAAGCCTGCTCCATATAATGAGTCTGGGCAAGACTACTCTCGCTGAGTTTGGCTTGACTCGCTGCCGGCCGAAATTATGAGTTGGCCTTGGCCGTCATGTCCACGTCCGCGACGAGACGCGGCAGGCGCGGCACGGCGTCGATCTTCGAACCAGTCTTCTTTTTTCGTGGCGCTGTTCTTTATTCGCGCACTCCCATGGGCGTGCTTTGTCTGCCTGCAGCGCGAGCGCTACTCGCGGGTGCTGGTGATGGTGAGGGTGACGGGCTCGCTGAAATTTGTGCCGAGTAATGGTGTTTGAACCACGGGACGTGCGCGAAACGGCGGACACGGTGTTCCAAGTGCTGTGCCGGGCTGTGCCCCACGTGACCACGTGACTTGAAGGCCCCCTCCCTCCTCCTCGGCTCCCACAACAATGGCAGGGCCCTGCTGGGCCCAGCGGGCCGCGCCTCGCCTAGCCTGGCCTAGCCTGGCCTAGCCCAGCACCAGGGCGTGCCCGAGCCCCGCCGGGGCACAGTGGGCCAGAAGACCGCTGGAGGCGAACAAACTCTAGACGCGTTTTGAGCTCCAGAGTCGCTGGGCAGGACTCGAACCGAGCGTGTGACCCCACCAATGGATTGCTCGTCGAACAGGGAACCCATTGGTGGGGTCACACCTTCGGTTCGAGGCCTGATTAGCGACTCTGGAGCTCAAAACGCGTCTCGAGTTTTGTCCGCCGCCACCGGTCTTCTGGCCCACTGTGCGCCGGCGTGCCCGCGTCGCGCCGCGTAGAGGTGCAGTGCCATGCGGGGCCATGCGGAGTGGCCCTGAACGCCGCCGTGCTGTCATCTGGTGCCGGTGTTCGTCGTGTTGGTGCGGAGCAGTGCCGGGCAGGCAGCGGCGTCGCGGGGCCGCGTCAGGGGCAGTCCGCTGCAACGCTGCTCCAAAAGCAAGGCGGGAAATCGCACTCCGTAGAAAGGGCATGCTAAACGAAGCTTCAAAGCACACAGCCCCGCAGAGGACGCAACCTGGACAACAGTTCCATGTCCCACGCGTCGGGTATCGACAAGCCGGCGGCTAGCCAGTCTTTTCCGACGCAGCCTGCATGGCTTGATCGCCTCGTTATGCTGTCTCTCTCTCACTCGGCGCGGCCCGGCGGCGCGACAAGGACGGAGCACGGCGGAGGACGTGATGGATGATTCGCGTGACGGCGGCGTACTACACCGGCGGGGCTGTAGGGCCGCCAAGCTGCCGCACAGTGGGCCAGAAGGCCGGTGAGGCGGCCAAAACTCTAGACGCGTTTTGAGTTCCAGAGTCGCTAAATGGTACTCGAACCGAGCGTGTGACCCCATCAATGGATTCCTCGTTCGGAGAGCAATCCATTGGTGGGGTCACACGTTCGGTTCGAGTCCTGTTTAGCGACTCTGGAGCTCAAAACACGTCTAGAGTTTCGGCCTCCTCCACCGGTCTTCTGGCCCACTGTGCGCCAGGCCCGACTTCCTGCGCCCTTTTTCCATTTCCTCGCCAGGACAGTCGACAAGTGCGCGGAAAATGGGAAAGCCAGGCCGGAGTTTTCTTTTCCGCGGCGGCAGCACTGCGAGGCCGATTCGGTGCAACGTGCCTGGCGCTGAGGAGGGGGGGGGGGTAGCGCGGCGCCGTAATCACTGCGGTGCACTCGCGATGAATGCTCTTGCACTTGCGCCGGCATTCGTCGCCGAGTCGCTAGACATACACCTTCGTTAAACAGTTTTTCACCAACTTGGTGTGACGAGGTCACCCACTGAGCAGGGAGAGTGAAGTACAGTCTCGGTAAAAGGACTGCCCCGTCCCCGCCCAATGACAGAGGGTCATCTGATAGCCCGCGGCTCGCGCTCGCGGCTCGAGCAAGACGTTATTGTCGACGGGAAGCCCTGGGAGTGGAGCCGCCGCCGGCGGTGGCGGCCTGTCGGCCTGGTGGCGGCTGTACCGGGGCTGTGACGTCGCGACTGGCCGCGCCGGGCCGCGCCGCCGCGCGTGGGCGGTGAAACTTGTTATTGCCCTGGACAAGCTATGCCGAATCACTAATGGCCCTACAGTGGCCCCCAGGGGCCCCCGAAGGGCATGGTAAGTGCTGTTGCCCCCGCGACGCGGCGAGGCTGGGGACTGTCTTTTCCGCAAACGCTTCACACACACGCGCGCACACACTCACAGTGGCGATGTAAAGCTCTGAATTGGCAGTCAGGGTCTCGGCTTCCACGCTGCAAGCACCGCTCGGCTCCGCTCGGCGCGACGCTGCACTGCTTGCCGATTCCACGAGGCGCGAACCGCGGGGACCACACTGCAAACACGACGGGCGGCGCTAGCCGCCAGAAACAAAGAAATTCTTTCTCGAAAAGCAATGTTGGAATAGGAAAGCAAAGAGTCTCGCCACGGCGGCCTGAAGTGGTCGTGGGCGACACGAGTGTTTGCCTCGTCTCTGGTTCAAACACCCCATTGATAGACTTTTTTTGGCCATGTATTTTCCTGAAACAGGCGGTGTGTTTCTTTTTCCTCGAAATGAGGAAGGCAATCCTTGTGTGCGCGGAGCGAGCCCTGGCGTGTTTCGGCCAGGCGACGGGCTGCTTGCTCTGCTACCCTTCCGTGCCCTGACGCCCTGACCGCCCCACTGCCCCGCGGCCCGCTGGTAGGTCAAGGCCGCCAAGGCCGTCCTCGAGGCAGCCGCGCCACCCTCAAGCCGGGCAGCCTTACGCCCCGGCGGCAGTGGGCCGGAAGACCGGTGGAGGTGGCCGAAACTCTAGACGCGTTTTGAGCTCCAGAGTCGCTACACAGGACCCGAACCGAACGTGTGACCCCATCAATGGATTCCTCGTTCGGAGAGCAATCCATTGGTGGGGTCACACGCTCGGTTCGAGTCCTATTTAGCGACTCTGGAGCTCAAAACGCGTATATAGAGTTTTGGCCGCCTCCGCCCACTGTGCGGCGCCACCCTCTCCGTTTACACCTGTCCGCGGCCGCCAAGTCCGCCAAGGCCGCCGTGGTGCCGAAGGTCCGCGGCAATCGCTGCAGATTTGGATCTGGGAATATGGAGGAGGCGGTGTCTCCGTGGCTCCGCCGCGCCGCCGCCGCCTGCGAGTGCGACAGAGACAGAGCGACTCTGTTCGGACTGCGGGGCGATTTCCCAGTGGCGCCGGCCACGCCATCGACCACCTCGGCCTCCTCCGGGGTGCACTCCACTGGGTGGCCGGCGATGGTCCTAATGCGCGTCGTTTGTCGCGGCAAGGCCGTCGCCGCCGAGGCCGCGGAGGCCGTGCGAATCGACGCAGCGAGGGCTGCCTCCGGGGGGCGCACTCCCGGACAACCCTTGCCGGGGCGCCAAGGGGGCTGCCTCCGAACCGAGGCCGGCAACGTGTGCCAGTGTGTGTGGCGGGGTGCCGGGGGTCGCCCAGTGCATTTAGGTTACCCGGTCGGGAGCCGCGCTGTCCCGGCGATCGGTCGCATCGAACCGATGGAGTGTCCCCGGCGTTGTCTTGAGTGAATCACCTTACCAGCAGTGTGCCGTATTCGGCCATAT